CTATATGATTATCCCTGAGTTAAAATATGAATCGCAGGCAAATTTTCTTAGAAATTAAAGCAATAAATTCGAATCTCACAACAGATTCGTTAAATAAAATGCATCGTAAGTTAGATGTGTTTTTAAAAAGACTTTGGAAAGATTAATAGCGCTTTCTCCGGGAAAGAAAAAAAACCTTTCTCGATCTCGGAAGAGTGCATCAGACAAATGGCAGATACATGGCCATGATTTCACCAAGTGTGCAGTACTTCAAAGATTTTCCTTACACGTTTCCTGAATCTTCACAAAATGATAAGTGAATAAACTTTACTAAAGTTCTACACCTTTAATAAATAATTTTTCAAGTTTGACCGTTTCTATCGATGATAAAATTGTGTGTCAAAAATTCTCTTATTTTTAGTTTTGCAATAAGTAATTATGCACTGACAAAAATTTATTGAATTCAAATAAATATTTATTTCAATACTGCCAAATAAATCATATATTTGAAACTAATAATATCGATTTGATGTGAAAAATATTTATTTGATATAAGAAAATCCTTTTCAAAGTAAATAAATAGTTATTTGTTTCAATATAAATGATTTATTAGGTAGGTATAGTATTGAAATAAATATTTATTAATTTCATAATTTTTTCAGTGTGATAATCTTTAAGCATAAAAATTATATAAGAAATTATGTATAAAAGAAATCTTTAAATAGAAAATTATTTTTAAATTTAAATTTAATGCTATTTCTTCTCTATGCAAGATTAAGAAGTATAATAATCTCCTTCTTTCTTGCTAGTGATTAGATTATATAACGTATATTATTATACGCTATCCACATAATTGATATTGGCGTGTTGACGTACGTAGATAACGGGACTGCAGTGATAGCGATAGCATTTTCGTCTCCATAGCAAGCGTATGCTTATACAACACAATAGTCTTTGCACCATGACATCATTGGGATCTTCGTATGCTAGTATACGATTCATAGACAATCATAATGGATGTTATAAACAATGCAGCATCAACCGATAAATCGCATTGCAAGACGAGCAAATTGCAAAATGTAGAATTAAAACCGAAATTTCAGTGAAAGTCGCCGATATCGATTTGCAGTCGAATGCGCTTTTATAATAATTAAATCACGCTACACACGTGTGCATATGTAATGTACATACGTGTGGTGAGATCGAGCGCTTATGTATGGATTCTGTTGTATATTTAAATATTTTATCGAATTTTAATTATCCAATAATGAACGCGCACAACTACTGCGTACTTGTCTGCGTGAGCGCATATTGTTACACGGGAAACTTGCGGGCCGAATTGCTGATTTAATTAACTATTAGAATAAACTATTAAACCGCGGGCAATAGATGCGGAGCGTCGATGCTCCGTAGTCAATGCAGTCATTCTGCTGCGTCAATGTCATTAACCAAGAGCCCGATCATAAGATAAATGTACACGCTGGCGATTCTGTGCATAAATTGACGTCAAAATTGACCTTGGCAATATTATTGCTCATTTCAACATGGAGCTAATCATTTTATGATGATATACCTTGATCTAACGCTATATTGCTACAACAGTCATGATTGTGTATGTGAAGCTGGCATCTTATTTTGTGGAAATAATATTAAGTATATATATTCAAAATTTTGTTTTTTTTATCTTTAATAGTTCTAGATAGTTTAACTAAAGTTCTAGCTATTAAAGTAACAAAAAAAATGTCTTGAGACAAACTGAGCAAAATTTACGCAGCGTCTCACTTTGTCCTACAACATTTTTCTTATTAGTAATATTTATTAATTATTAAGATTGAAAAGATTTATAATTCTACATAAATTTGAAAAAGAGATTTTCTGAAAATAAAGCTAGCACTTTTAATTGTTTACGAATTTCCACGAAATAACACACCAACTTTATACACCCCTATTACTACTACAGAAAAGTTACAAAATAAACAATTTCTCACTCACCGATACGCCTAACAGCGGAGTTGTAGTACACAGCACATTGATCTGAAAACAAAATATTCAAATTATGTATATGTATATATGTGTATACACACACACAAATACATACAGGGTGTTTAGCAAGTATGGAAACTGTCGAATATCTCATAAACAATGCAGTTTAGAAAAAAATATTTGAAATTTTGCATACCTTATAGTTGCCCCGCTATCGCCTGATGTCCTTCTCCTTCTCCTCCATTTTTGGTCGACCTTCAGTAGCACTCACGACACTCGCGAAAACACGACTAATTACAATCGTTCGACACTTTACACGGCACTCCCGACGCGCGACACTTTATACGGCACTCCCGACACGACATGAATCGCACGCGTATTTCACGTATATTGCACAATGAGAAAACTATAATCGAAAACACGAAGCAACGATCTGTTCGGTACAGATATTATTGCCGCGCGCGAGTTTGACTGCGAGAACCTGTAACAAATAAAATACATGCATATATTAGAGCAGCCTTAATATTTTTTGCATTATAACATACATGATATAAATATATAAGAATTGAAAGACTAGCGTTCTCATCTTAATATCTAGATATTCGGTTGTCTTTATGTTAGCTTAATTAATTTTTTCGCTTTTAAAAGAGAACTCTTTTTAGAAACTATTGAGTTTTTTTAATCCTGATAATTATTGATAAGAAAGATACCGTAGGATCAAATGAGACGCTTCGTGAAATTGACATATCAGTTTGTCCCAAGACATTTTTGTTGCTTTAATGATCAGAACTATTTGTTTAAACTATCAAGATACTCTAGAATCTAGAATTGAAAATAACGCGAGAACTTTTAATTATTTATGAGTTTCCACAAAATCTTGTATCTTTTCTCAAGTAAATCATTACTTGAGAAAAGATACAAGAGATTCCAAGATAATCCCGCATTTTTTTGCACATATGGTTCCTTTAACTAATTTTTAAGTCGATCTTTTCTTAACAAAAATTCAATAAAAAAATTTTCTTTTATAACGATTCTACTAATCCTCTATATTTTAATACGACGTAAAAAAGGAATTTCATTTGCATTAATTATCGCGACAGCGTTGCATCGAAACTATTTGGAATCGTTTTTACAAGCAAGTTTTTTGTACTAACGCGTTGCTAAAGACGTTGGCGACTGTAAATGAGATTTTAAGGATTCCAAGAAAATAGTTTAAAACGACAGATAAATTTCATTTAATCACGTTGAATAAAATATTGCTTCCGCACGACTGATTGTGAGAACCTTTGTTTTTGCTGTCTATTCGAAAATTCACATCAAATATGACACAATTTTACACAAGTTCACATTAAATATGTTAAACAAAATATTTGAATCAATACATTAAATAAATATTATGTGACTGATTATTTCATATTACATATGATCAAATTAATAGTATTACTAATAAAATTATTTAATCACATACATATTATTGAGAAGAAAATCATAAATCATTTTGAAATACATCATACATAATTTGCAATAGTAATTAATCATTTTATAGAGTATTTGGAATAAATTATATATATAGTAAATGATTTATATCATTAAGATAAAATTAATATATTGCATCCATAATACAAAGGATACGGAAATATTTAGTTATTGATGTCAAATGTATCATTAGTTAAATGAATATTCATTTATTATTTGATTGGATATCTATACGAATTCACATTATATTCATTTTTTATTTCAATTATTGATTGTACTTTTATTGTAGAAAGTCCTCGTAAATTAAAAAAAAAAAGTATTCGAGCCATTAATTTGAAACATTAATAATGTATTCATTATTAATGTCAATTTTACTTTCAAAAATCTTCGTTCAATCTTTCGTTTAAGTTGATTGATACAGATTAAATGTTATGATTGAAAATATGATTATATATACCTATATATATTATAGATGTATTATAGATCAGATATAATCTTGTATAACATTTTATTAGTGATCGGAAAATTTAGTGGAATTCTTGTGTTAACTCGAACTAACGGCGCATTATTAGATTCTGATTAGATTATATGGGCTTATTAAAGAGACGCATCTCCTTTAAAAGAAAATCGGGGTCGTTTATCGCAACATAATCGACAATTATCGACTGCCTTTATATAGACCGATTCAAAAATAAAAAAAAGAGGAACTATGCGAAGCAACGTGTCACTTACAAGACGATACGCTTGTGTGTACTTGCAATTGTTAGATAACTCGAATTATCGGTGCAATGACGTAAAAAAAATTATTTGATGAAACTTGCGTCAGTAGGTGGAATCGTACAACTTATCGCTATTAAGGAAGCTTTCTTTTGAATTCGAGAGATTATATAAAGACTGATACTGCTGGGAAACATTACAGTTGTTAGAAGAGAAGTGCGTTTGGGAGAAAGAGCTCTCTGAAATCTATTAATCGTTCTTCGCCATTTTAATCGTAAGCATGATTTTTCATGGAGAACCAGTTGATTTCTGTAATTAATTCTAGTGGAATTTATCACGTGTTTTTAAAAATTAATAAGATCATTCTACAAACAATTTTCTTATTATATTAAATATTAATTATTATAGTATCTAGTTCATAATTTAAATAACTATAGAAATTAATACTTTTTGTTATTAATATTATTTACAAATATTGAAAAATTATGTTAAAATAAAGATAATGTATGTATAAGTAAAAGATGTATGTGTTTCATGTAAGAACAAAAGTGATACATATTATTGAATTTTAAATTAATAAGAAGATACTAGTTTAATATTTAAAAAAATTGTGTATCATATTGAATCGTCTTCGTGTCCATTTTCATAATGACCTCGCGAATATAGAGCCGATATACAAAGTGGCCTGATATACATACAAGCGAGCAACGATTACTTTTTACTCTCGGGATAAAAGAAGGGTCGGTCGCTCGAGACAATCGACCCTGATCGTCACTCGATCGCGAATGAATATTAACACTATATGTACACATCTAACGGCCCTTTCTCTCTACTTAACTCCGCAGGGTCCAAAGATGCCGTTGTCAGAGTTCCGCAAGAAAAAATTACTCTTCGTCTTCAACGCTTTTTTCGGTAAGTATATCATCATAAACGGTCAGAATACTTTATATTTAATATAGAGTAAAAAGATATTCACAATAGAAAAATATTTGCATTCGTAAATTTACAATGACATTCTCTTAACGACGATTTAATGTGAATAAAATTATCATTTCGCTAAATATTATGTCAATTTCATAAAAGATAAATAAAATTCTCCTCAATATTTATAATGAGAAGCCATCAACCGCTAAACATTAAATGACGATATTAATAATGATGTTAACAAAGCGATGTGAACCGTATACTATAGGAGGGTGATATATTTTTAACTTTTCCAACTCGACTTTACACGCCATTCACTCAGACGGGATCTCAATTCCCCTTTTCTCGCGATTATTTATTAATATTTATTCCTGTAATGATAGGATATAAAAGTTCGTTCGTACACAATCTAAATTATTCTGTTTATTATTGATGGAGAAAGTTTTTATTATACATGCATGTTTATTCATGCATAATTTATTTTCATCCTCGTCATTTTCTCAGAGAAAAGAACGAAAAAAACGTTCCATATGAATCGCAATAAAAATCATTTATATCAATCTGCCAATATACTGCGCAGTTAATATATATTATTTTGATAGTAAAAAAAAAAAAAAAATAATTATACAAAGCCTTGATTAAACTATCGCCATTAATTTAGTTATTCTGCCAGTCTTGCGGCACTTGAACCGCGATTTTCCTTTGCTGATACGGTTTAGCCCACGTTACTGGCTCGATAACAAGCGAACAGGTTCCCCCGACATTTCGAGATAACATTTATCGCCCCCGCAGCGCTGGTTGAGAGAAAATTTCTCTTTCTCCGTCGCGTTTCTGTACATCTCGCCGAAACAAATCCTCATCGAGCGCTAACGTAACGAACGAGGTGTCGTCCCTTCTCTGATGGCATTTTCGCCATCCACTACTTCGCGGGGGTTGTCTTGATTCTCTCTTAACGGTCCTATTTCACTCGTCCTATCTCTCTTCCTCCATAGTTCTCTTTTTCTCCCGTGCCCTTCGCGAAAAGCTGCGCAAGCCGTTTCGACACGAATGAAATACGGAGTTCGCCCGGAGGGTCGCTTTCGATGCGGCCTCTCTCTCGCGCGCTCTTTTTGGGGCGGATGAAAACGGGAAACCGGGATTGCGCGCGTGAGCATTTTGCGCGGTCTCCGTGTGGTACCTATGTGTCAGACCATTCGGGCTGAGCGAGGCAGGCTATGTGTGTATATCTATTTATGGTACGAACTCTGTGGAGAAGATAAACAATGGACGCGCCGTCGGGTTCGGTTAAGGGATGGCTATACGCCACGTATGATGTGTGTACGTGTTCTAATTCTCCGTGAGTGCGTGAGTGAGTATCTTCCATCGTTTTAAGACTCTTTATAACGTTATTTTTTTCCCTTCCTCTTTATACCTCCCGGGGATTTCCGGGAATTTCGCTATGCCGCGTATATCTCATATCATATATAGATGTAAGAAAATATGAAATCACACGTTAAATAGAATTTCCATTTATTTTACGAGATAAAGTTGTAAAAAGTTGCTCTTGTCTGCACCGAATTGAACTGGCGCTTTTTATTTGCGTTAATTCTTTGAATTGGAAATGATGCCGTAAGCAAAATGTTGCGAAAAAGTTATATGAGATTATATCTTTTTACATCGTAATTTTTCACAGATCGTTGATTTTGAACCGACATCCATCCCTACTGTACCGCGGCTAGCTAAAATATCAAAACTTTTACTTCAATTTTTATTAATTTTAATCTTACTTTTTTTTTTACTTTCGAAAGCTATTATGCTTCTTTTAAGGACCACCCGAGGTTTCCAGCATCCCTCGAAATGCTCGCAAAAGTCATTATGCAAAAAGTTATGTATCCTACTTTGCAGGGCCTAATGGATGAAACGGTCGTGCCTCGCGTTTCAATGCATGTGCGTGTTTTTATGATGACACATAATGTAAAAATGCGCCATAATGTGCACTGGGTACAAAGTAGAACTATGTATGTACATTTATGTATATGTACGCGCGAACCTAACATGCGAGAAAGTGTGCACGTTCACGAGCGTGAAGCTCACGGAGATCACAAGCGTGCACACGCCTGGTAGCCCTCATTAATCCCTCATTTTCTTCTCCTCTTTGACCGCTTGGCGATTGGCCGCTAAACATATCCTACGAACGCTTCTGTGAAACTGATTATTTTACCGTGGTTTAAATACGAAAAGAGAGGGAGAGAGTATTGCGATATACACATGTATGTTTGTTTCGTTTCTCTGAGGAAAAGTTTAGGCAATTCCATCAATTCTCCATTTTATTTATACTGTTAATATTGTTTAATAATTTTTAATACATTACCAAAAGTAAGATTTAATATCATCAAGAATTTATTCAATATAATCTCTCTCGTTTTCTTTTTCTACTCTTTAAATTTCTTGGAGTGAAAACTGAACAATCTCATTCCAAAAGAGTGGAATTTTACTCCAAAAGAGTGAGATTCCACTCTTTTGAAATGAGATTGTTCAGTTTTCGCTCCAAGAAATTTAGAGAGTACGTTAACAACATCGCGAAATTTCAAATATTTAATTGGTGCGCAAAAAAGTGAATATATATAATACGTTTTCTATTGTTTGCATCATCTTGCTGAACGTACTTATAAACGAAAGAATCCGCGATTCATCGATTTTCAATTTGTCCACGAGTTCAGAGTTTTTGCAACAAGTTGTGCCATTAAAGGTAATCGGTTGTATATCCGGACGTTGATATTAATTATTTCGTCGTGCCCTCGGTTTGTCAACCGTCTCGACGGATGCCGGGAAGACAATAAATTCTGCCTCGTTGAATCGTAATCGGCGCTTAACAGGATTCTAGCTACGGGAGTCAGGAAAGGGTGAAACGGTGGTTACCTTTCCCTTTTCTATAGCGAAACGGAATTAATAAACGACAAGTCAGGCGGAATAAACCGCGAAAAAACGAATAAACCTGTGATAAAAGTGGGTCATCTTCAGAAAACTAACGATATCCGATCGTAGCCAAGCGAGACCAAAATCGAGTGGCATGATCGTTTATCTTGTCCTCTAAGCGAGAAAATGTACGTTGCTCTTCGAAAATGTTAGCGACAGCTGAGGCGGTCACATTTTATCCGAAATAACAAATAGTTGCGCAACAAAATTCAATGAACAAATTTTCTATATATTTTAGATATCATTGAATTTTAAACCGAATCATAAATTTTAGCGAATAAGAAACACATTAAAATATCAGATAACAATATCCTGCTATTATTTTTGTTCTCCAGATGTTAATGAAAGTGGTACCATCGACGTAAAGGATTTTGATCTCGCTGTGCAAGTAAGAATATTGCATGTATAAATTAACTGAATTATTTTCTCACTATCATTATTATATTTTGCATTACATATAGATACTACAAAAGAATTTATTTCATATTGTATAAATAAAAAAAATATATATAACATTTTAAATTTGAGAGATTCAATTAATAACTAATTACAATTTTTGTTTGCGACAATCAAGCTCATCAATTAAGAATAGCTAAAAATTTAAGCTGATTCGCGTTTATTTCGTATTTTAGCGAATTTGCAATTCTAAGCATTGGCAACCGAGCGATGCCACATCGAAACACATTAAGGATACTTTGACTAAAGTCTGGGAAGGACTGCAGTCACGAGCTGATGCCGATCAGGACGGACAGGTATAATGTTTAAATTATTCCTGCGGCTATTTTAATTATAATATCAAATTATGATTTTTCTGATGGATTTTAATATGTTTCTCTTTTCCATTTTCTACTCTAAATAAACTTTCTGAATTTTTAGCATACTTCCGTTCCACTTTCCGTCTGCGTTTATCGATTTTTAAAGTGTTTTTGCGTTCATAATTTTTAAAACAGTTTCTTGGTTGTGTGTGCTTGTATATTTGCGTTTCACTCCGTAACCTAAAGGAATATTCTGCGATATTTCACAACATATGATTAAAATTTGAAACTACATATAAGAGACGCAGCATACATCTTGCTGATCAGAAATATGTATGTGCGTGTGTGTGTTGTGTGTATTCACGCGATATTAACCGTCGCGCATCTTTCAGATCAGTCGAGACGAGTGGTATTCGATGTGGGAAGAGTACGCAAAAGATCCAGCAAACGCACTCGAATGGCAACAAACATACATGAATTTCATGTTCGATCTCGAAGATTCATCCGGTAAGTTTCGGCGAGCTCGTTTCCTCTATAAACGCGTTTATATTCACATACCGGTTACGCGCAGCTGCAATTCATTACGCATTCGCGCGGAGATTCCAGAAATACTAATGTAAGCATAATTACTCGAGCAGAAAGTGACTGGAGAGGAAGTATGTATCATTAATACTGTCCTCTCTCATGTTAGTTTCGTGAATTACAGTAAATACTTACTTAGTAAATACAGCTCTCCCCGAGATTGTTCCGTAAACTCTGTTTCGCTTTGCCTTTTCATAGTGTTGTTGCAATAGAAAAGAATCTAATATTATAGTGTATACAATTTATATTTATTTATATATTATTTTATATGTACAATTTATATTATTTATATTTATATGTATATACATTTTAATTTTTTTAGCGCATAAAAAATACCTGAAAAAATATCTTATAAGTAAATAATTTTTTAAATTATATATGTTTTTTAATCAATGCATCTACGATTTAAATGCTTTTGAGAAACTTCAAGTTAAATGCTTTTATTTTACTCTTGATTTTCTTCTTATTGTTATACTTTAATTATAGCATATATTGTATTTTTGAAATTCTGTAAAATTGATAAACTAATCAGGTTAAAAATGGATGATGGTTTCGGAAGTGCGAGGGTTCAAACAAGTTTATAAATACCAATTAAGCGACATCCCTTCCGCTCATTATCCCTCATTCATTCATAAAAATTCCTCTAATAATATATCTTATCTCGCCTTTGTTTACGTAAAAATTTCTCGATTTTTAGTTTCGTGTAATGTATATAAAATAATAGTGTCAACAAATTCGAATTCGATTATCGTTATCGTTAGGTGATGGATCGATCGACGAGACCGAATTCAGCAAGGTGTGCAGCAGTTATGGCGTTGACGAGGCCGAGGCACGCGAGGCGTTCAAGAAACTAGGGGTGGTGAGTATCAATCAAGCGGAAGAAGAAAATAAAAAGGAAAGGACAATGTAACATGGTATCAAGCCTTACGAAACTGTTTACTTCTTCGCAGGGTAAGGAAGTGACTCGCGAAAAATTCGCCGATCTATGGAAGCAATATTTCTGCTCCGACGATCCGAACGTACCTGGAAACTTTATATTCGGAAAGACCTCTTTCTAACTCTGCCACCCCGTGAGATTGAAAAACAACGCACGTACATAATATATATATATATATATATATATATATATATATATGCATATATATGTATATTACGACAGATTATTTTATGTAAACGTATGAATTAAAGAGGTAGGCGTAACTCTATGTAATCTACTAGTCACGATTCTATTTCATTTACTGCTCTCCTATATCTTTCGTATCAAAATACTGTAATTATAATTAACAATCGAGAAAACTTTATATTATCTCTCTATGCTCTTCAACACTATTCTCCGTATAATTATAGCATGTTTAAATCTCAGTTACTAATATTATAAAGTGGCTTTGGCCAAGTTGAATGAAACTATGCGAAATAAATTCTCTTTCTAATTTTATTTATCCCGTTACTAAGTTTTTATTGCACGTGCGATCAATCAATGCGCAATAAAACACAGAGTTCAACAGAATCGAAGTTAAATCTAATTTGCAGCTTTTCCTTCCATTGTTCTGCATAATAATACATTGTCCCTTTAACGGCACACATTTGCAACGATTTCCCAAATAATTCCAAATTTCCCGCTTTGCATTTCTAATGTTCTATATACACGGCCGAAATATTTCAAAAAATCTAATAAGATTGATTAATTTCTTCGACTGCGAACTTTCTTACGCTAAATATTTCATAGTGTGAGTACGTGCTAGAATTAAGTATCTTTATTATCTTTACGGCGCATATCGATCCATCACCGCCGAAGAGCTAATTATGTCGTATAACGTGTAAATAAACGCCCTTGTGAATTATAAAAATTACGCTGTTTCGATACGCGAAGAGTGACGCGGCTGGTAATAATTGAGGTGCGCTTTTCGTTGCATAATTTATAAAAATTCCGTGAAAGTCTCTTTCTTTCTTGTTATGTACATCTTTTCGGTCTGAATGTATGCTAATTATAAACGATACCCAATTCACTAAAATTGATTGGAACATGCCGCCAGAAAAAGAGCGAGGCTTCTCTTTGGTCTGCGAAAAGATATTTTAAGAACAGAGAGCAAACGGTATTACAAACACGCGCACCTCTTACAATCATGGTATATTTTTTTTCAAAGCACTACGGCATACGTTCGTTTTACGGTACCGTTATTTAATTTTGTTTTATACTTTTATATATATAATCTTCCTTTTTTGGTTTTAAAATTTAAATCGTTCTGTTTCGGTACATTCGAATATTTTCGCATTGTTGAATAGGGGAATTCAATTGTATTACGAAAAGCTGCGTAAACGAAAAAAGGAAACTACCCGGAAAAAAATATAAAGGGGTAAACGCACGCTGATTGATTAACAACTGCTCACCATGCAATGATGCACGAGATTGTTGTTACGTTGCGTTCGTATCGTTAAATCAAATCACGTATATTTATATATACGTTGAATGAGAATTGAATTTTACACGGATGGTCAATCAACTAGCGATTAACTAGTGCGATTATTGATATTTCACTGTTAATTGCTATTACGTTCTGTTACAAATTTGTGACAAAATTTTCATTGAATGTAGATATCATTGTTTGTGTCATTGTATATTATATAATTAAGAGTACATTTGTGTCAAAGGTATATCATTATGAAATTAATACATGTCTTTTGGAAATTAATGATTATTGTAATAATGTGTGCATTATATAGTTAGAGAATTGTTTGTGAAAAATATGGAATTGTAATTTGCGTATTTTAATATTAATTTCAATCAGCTGATAATTCTATTTTATCCGGTACTGACAACAATAGAAAAATTGTATTTTTTAGATTCGCTTTAATTATCGATCACTGCCCGTAAAGAGACAAACATAATATATACATATATCGAAACAGCAGTACGTTTAATCTATCGAGTGTGTAAATAATAATAAATCACGAGATGAATATTTTCCGTACTTGTTAGAAAGTAAATGTACTGAGATAATAATCCTTAAATTCTCGTTCGTCCGCCATAAATCACATAACGATCAAACGAATATACGACGCGGCTATAAACTAGAGAGAAATACGAATGTAATGAAACATTTGCTGTCAATTGAAAACGTCCAGGCACGGATTAAGTGACATGTTGAATATTAATGAAATGCTCAACAGCATATAGATTTCTGTTTGTTATTGTAAAGTAATTTGTTTCAGTTTTGATCGATAATTAGCCATCATATACGATAACGAGATAATAATTATCAAATTTCTACTACACAATTTTCGATTCACATATTACTGCTATACGTGAAGAAACTGTCTATATAGTTTATCTGATATGTCAATGCAATTTTTGTCAAAAATTGGCGGTTTTTTTCAGCAGAAATTAGATTGACATCATTAATTGTTATATTCTATATTCTCCATTCAATAAATCTTTGTAAACTTTTGTAGCATATTTTGAGCATATTTTTATTTATGTATATTCTAAATATAAGAATCAAAGTATCTTAACCTGTGCCTGTAGTGATGTATATGGTTTCGTGTTAAAAGAGGCATTTACATGCTAACTTGTTGTAATGAACATGTACTATTCCTGTTCCTAAAAGATGCATATAAGAATATGTTATACAAATATCACATGTCCCTATACGTGAGAGATTGACAAGAAAAAAAAATATAAAGAAATATATATACTATATAAAAATTAAAAAATTGAACATCTCTTTTTCTCTTTCAATGAAGATACCAACCCTCATCCTGTCGTATTTATGGAATAAATTATATGTATTGTACTCTCGGTACATACGACAAATTTGTGTAATTTGTGTCATATTAACTCAATAATAATCATAAACGTAAATAGTAAAATTATTACTATAATAGAACATAATAAATTATAGAAAGTATGAAGTCTATTAAACAACTGTATATCTTAAAAAGCACGATTGAATAAATTGTTGCATGTCAATGGCAACCAGCTCCATTCACATACACACGGGACGCTTCTCTATGGTCTCTGTTTATTTAATTAACTTCACTTCGAGATCAAGTATTCAAAGACGTAATAATAAGAAATCTCTATCATTACATGTATTGCAAGTCAATGCAAACAGATTTAATGTCCGCGAATAAAAGACAAATAAAATAACATGGAGTGTTAATTATATATAGGAAGTAGACTTAATAGCGATATTAACACATTTAAGCTCAATTAAATAAATGTTAATGTCTGTTTCAATATTTAATTGCAATTTTGACAATATAACAACGTACCGATGTAAAACGCAACATAATGAGACAATAACAAATAATTGTAAACAAATTATGTAAATGGATCAATTAAATCAATTCTTCGATTATTTATATTATTGTATATTAATATAAAATACATACATACGTATTTATTAATATATTATCTTTCATCAATTATAATGTATATTTCAAGAATTGTCATAATAATGGATAAATAAAAAATAATTTGATTTCTGTTTCTAGGAAATGAGAATTCTCTAATTAAATATTAACTACGTTCCAAAAATCATTAACAAATGTGTCAATCCTATTTAATTATATATTATTATATATATTAACTATATAGACTTCTTTTGCAAATTTGATCTAATATAAATATCTAAATATTTATATATCCAGATAACCAACATGATATTCAGAAATGCATCAGATAAATGCTTCGTATATAAGATTGGAACTCTTATTTTAAAACAACTGTACATGGATGCATATATATATACATATATTGCATATTAATTGGATGCTGGCTCCATCTTATTTGCATGGACAGAATTGTGAGGAAAGATTCTTTATCCATTCCGGGAAGATTCGAAAACAAGATAAATAAAAATTCTGTGAACGATTGAAACATTAATTCGATTTGAGGAACGCATAGCATAGTGTAAGTTTATTGCGTGAAAATGATTAATTAATATTAGATCAAATACTGAGAATAGAACTAAATGACACATTTTGACAAGAATTACATATTCAAACTTTAATAATTAGAACAGACTAATAAACCAGCTGTTGCCAGAAAACAATTATTATTTTGAGCAAAAATATGATCTTTGCTCATTTACTTCTTGTTCGTCCTCAGTCAGTTTCTCAAATATTGCATCTGGTCGTGACGCGACGTTTGGCCTTTAAATTACATGTGCGTTTTATAACCTCTAACAGTGCAATCTTACAAATCATACCGATTTTATATATACACTCGTCCCGGATAATTTTTGCAATGCTCTCAAGAATACATACTCATCTCTCTCGTATCTTATCATTTCCCTGTCCTGTATGCGATAACTTCACCTGACCAGACCGATTTCCAAAGAAAGTTATCTTGTGTGTAACAAGTCACTATGAATATAACATTCATTTTATATGAAAAGAGATTTTCCTGCTTGAACATTCATTTATTCATACGATATGTTTGATTTTTCAACGTTAAAATATTTAATTCAGTTTAATTCTTATTAATGTTATGTTTATTGTGATATGAAAAGTGCTGAACATTAGCAATAATATCAAATACTTTTATTACATTATCAAAAGGGTGATGTGAAAGTAAGAATAATGTGAGTAATGTGAGTAAAATACTTGTTAATGTCTTATGTTTTTGTGCATTTATATTATCTGTGTATTATTGAACAGTGACATAAAAAGTTTGCAAATTATTAATCATAGTTCATGTGATATTCTATTATAATATTCAAATGTTGCTTTTAAAAAGTTTAATCTTTATATATTGACGTTTATATATCTTTACATAATGATATTTGCAATATGTTTTTAATATAGTAGAAGATTTTTTATTTCCTATTAATTCCATATGTTGCGTAAAACAATTATGGAAAATTTGATCTTACATACTATTATTTTGTGATTATATAATTTGTACAACTATAACTCATGCATATATTAATTTAGTATTAAATAAAATATTATTCTATTTATAATTTGCAAAAAGGCTTTGCTAGAAACATACTTAATTATTTACAACAGATTTAAGATAATCGAAAGCATTTAAGTAAGATGTAATTTTAAACAGATTTCATGGAAAGGATATATATATTTGTATTAATATGTGAATTTATTTGTGTTCTTTTCTTTTCAACACTATTTATTATATTTTTTATATATGTTATAGGTCAAACACTAGCAATGAGGTAAAATACACTCTGAAAGCAAAAGAAAAAGAAGAATATGCCATGACTTGTCTAGGAACATATGTATTTATGGATAAACATTGTAGACAATTATCAACTTCAGATAGTTCATCTGCGCAGCAAATTGATTCTTTGTCACTTGCATATGAAGATCTTTTCACCATGCCTTATAACATCAAACAGGATTATGATTTCGTAAAACATTTAGATATTAGTCACAATGTGTTCAGTAGGTAAATAAATATCCATAATGTATGTAAAAAAATTTACAGCAAAATATAAAAAAACTTTGATTTCTACTTTAATGTATATAGTAAAAATAATATAGTGCAGTAAAATTAAAATAAATTGTTTTTGGAATTTCAGGAATTTACAATTTTTATCAGAATTTGACAACTTGAGATCTCTCAATTTAGATCACAATAAAATAGATGAAAATACTGTGTTCCCATTCATGCCAAATCTTGAGCTTCTCTGGTTGAATAATAATCTTATTAAAAATTTGTATCCCTTTATTAAGAATCTTTATAAAAGTATACCAAATCTAAAATATTTGTGCCTCATGGGAAATGAAGCGGCACCTAGTTATCTTAATGGTGGAAGTTTCTTCGAATATCTTCAATACAGGTATATTAATAGAATATAATTTATTAAAATTTATTTCTTAAGTTTTAATTAATATATTTCTTATAAATTTATGCCATAAATGTTGAATTTTTTAAAAAGGTTATTTGTGCTATCTTGGTTTCCACATTTGGTGCACTTGGATGACAGAATAGTGACTGACGAGCAGCTATTAGAGGCCAAGAGAATGTTCAAACGACCATTGCTTGAAAATGTAATTGAACTGCCAGAATGCATTAAGGACTTACATAATAAGATAAATATCTTTTCCAAGTCGTCAATGTCTGATGGTCAAAAAATATCAAGAGGAACCAATCTTATTATTTAAACAGTATTACAGTGCAGCTCAAAGAAATTTTGACTAGATGTTTTTTTTTAAGAAAGAAATGAGATTGTAATATGTTATATCCCATTAGAAATACGTGCCAATTACGAAAGCAATATATATATACAAAACATAATTATTTATATAAATATTTTCTTTAATAATCTTTTTATAATTTTTTATATTATAAAATTCGAGCTACAGCCATATAAACAAATACATTTATATATGTATACTGCCATATTACATATACTCGACATGTATATGATGCTTGAAATCAGTTTTAAATTATATTCTGCGTGAAAGCATTATTATGCATATTATTGTTGCACTACTAGGGTTGTATGTTTCATTTATGTAATTTAAATATATGGTTTTAACACATAGCCTTTTTGTAAATTGCACATAAGAATATTATTTTATACATTATGTGTGAGTATGTGTATGTCAGTGATGATGCGTTTTATAAAGACATGTGATAAGAATAAAATTGTTATGCACACATTCAAATGTCCCCTTTTTATTAAATAAATTGTAAATTATTTGTATAATAAAATGTGTATATAATTTCATTAAAATGTATATATCTGGCAGTGCTTGTAAATCATCTGCATTTCAGCAAGAAAATATAAATTATGCGAAGATGCTTTTGTGATTGAGTCAAAGCATATAATCGATCAAAGTTATCATTTGACGTATTATTTTACAAGTTTTTATTCATATCACAAACTGCGTAAACAAATAATTAAAGAAAAATTACATTATAAAAATCATTGAAAATTATTAAAAATTTTTTTAAGATCTAAATTTATATATAATGATAAAATATAATGTTTATATCAAAAATTGTGTGTACATTTTATTATGAGAATTTTATTATAATTAATTTATTAAAAATTAGTTATTAAATATTTTGAAAAGTAAAATATTCAGAATCGATCCATCCAGACTGTACGTATTCTGTCATATAGTAAATGATGAATCGTTATCGCGAGATGAACGAGTAATTATTATAATTTTACAAGCAATAAATAAATTAATAGTCCACTTACGCCAACGTTGCTCTGCTTTTGCCCGGGCCTTGTCCTCTTTTCGTCTCTGTATGGCATCCTTTTATCGCGAGAACACGATTAATTACAATTACGATAACACGCGCGCGTTTATCAACAAAATAAAGTAATAGTTTTGAACGACACTTCTCGATTGATCGTACGCGACACGCGACTCAACTTTATATCCGACATCTCCGATCTCAATCACGCGACACTTTGCGCGAATTTCCCGACATTAACGGCCCGTGATCCTTCATCCGGCATTTTCCCGATTTTAATCGCGCACGATATTTTGTACGCGGCACTTTTGTTAATTACATGCGACGTATATTAAGCAACAATTATGATTTTACGAAATTACGATCCACTACTTGGCGTAACGCGCGAAATCTACGCGGGAAAGTAAAGTCGTCGCAGTGATGCCAACTGTGTATTTATAAATTATCAGCCTTTCCGCTTCTTCTTCTGATTGGCCGATCTAGTCTTAAGCCCCTTGCACAATTCACAACTAGTGCTTGTGAGTGCACATAAAGATTCTCGCACACAATTTTATAATGACATAAGTATAATTAAAAAAATAAAATAATTAATAGTAAGAACTATTATTATCATTATTCTTATTGAACAACAATAATAATAGCTCTTACTATTAATTATTTTACTTTTTTAATTATTTACGTCATTATAAAATTGTGTGCGAAAATCTTTATGAGCATTCAGTGCGCACTAGTTCTTCCAGTGAAAAACGCTATAAGAAATAGAAAATATCTGAATATCAATATAAGAGCAGAGAATAATATCTATCTCCTTTTCCGATTGATTGATATTTTCTATTTCTTATTCCTATTGCCTGTTACCTGGCATTGTGCAAGGGCTTTACACTTCTCCTGATCAGGGTGGGATAGGTATATAATACGTGAAATATTAATACAATTTGATATGACGTATTATACTATGTATTATACGTTATACGTAGTAAGTTTTTGACATGTAATAATTTATGTATAAAACTTACAGATAACGCTACATAAGCCAAATTATTGCAGCCGATGCAGGTGCATCTTTGATTAATAGTTGTGACTTTGACATTATTAAAATTATATTTAAAAAAAACAATAAATTATTTATGAATATTTCAGCAGATTGCCTGCAAAATGACAGCACTTTAAAATTGAAAATGCTTCCATATAAACATGAAAGATGCGTCTTTATATATGACATGAGTATTATCAGCAAGTAAAAGGATATCTTTCTAATGCTGTTCTTCTAATGCAAAAATTGCGAAAATATGCTGCTTATACAAATATATATATGTTAACAATATGTGACATACAATATAATGCATAATTAAAATTTATTAAAATAATTCGTGATTTTATGCTGTTCTAATAGCGTATTACAATAGTATACATAATACATATATGTTTGCATACTATAATATGTTTAGCATATACTTGTCTATCTGGGCTTTTTTAATTTTTTTACATTGTGCACACACAATAATATATATAGCATAAATTCGGCGTGTATATTTAATCTGGATCTGTAAACACGTATTTTATATAATTTATTATCGATGAAAATGATTAATCGTGAAAGCGACTATATAATTTCTATAATTATTTTTACAGTTGGCATTACAGCGGCGACTTTCCGCGTGTTTGTTAGTTGACATGGCAACGGGCGATTTCCCGCGTATTGTTGGTTGGCATGGTAACGACGATTTCCCGCGTATTTTGTTAGATGGCATTACTTGTGACTTGTGGCGATATTCGCGAATATTTCGTGTCGCGTCGCGCTGCTCGTAGTTTCGTATAATTATAATTATAATTATAATTGTCGCGTCGCATATATATAGATAGCGAAAGTGCATAAAATATGCATATGGTTAAAAGCGGGAGTACCGTATAAAAAGTCACGTGCGAATAATATATGTCGGGAGTTCTGTACAAAGTATATCGCGCGATTAAAATTGGGAGTGCCGCGTCTAGAGTCGCGTTATCGCATACGATTAATATCGAGAGTGTCGTTCAAATTGTCGTGTGATATTATATTTGATTTTATTTTACTGCTTAATGCGTACGCGTGATCATATTTTTGCGAACGTACGCTACATGAATGCTGAAAAGATGCTATAAGTATATGAATAAAAGAGACGGAGGAAGAAGGAAATTAGGGGAGGCATTGGCGGAGAGGCCTTGTCGTAAGTAGATTTATAACTTATTATTTCGTCTATTATCTATTATTTGCAAAATTATAATAGTTATTCATTTATCTTCGCGATAATATGATTCATTTTACATTATGTAAGATGGATTTTAGATATTTTATTTTTTAAATTTTTAATAATTTTAATAAATAAAATTATCATAATAATACATACAACTTTTTATATGAAAGTTATATTTTATTATATTTTCTATGTATTTAATTCTAATTTATTCGACGAAATATAATTCATTTATAATAATTTATATAATTTAATTCGACTAATTGCGAAAATCTTTGCGATAATATGATTCATTTTACATTATGTAAGATGGATTTTAGATATTTTATTTTTTAAATTTTTAATAATTTTTAATAAATAAAATTATCATAATAATACACACAACTTTTTATATAAAAGTTATATTTTATTATATTTTCTATGTATTTAATTCTAATTTATTCGACGAAATATAATTCATTTATAATAATTTATATAATTTAATTCGACTAATTGCGAAAAACTATAATCTCTATAATTATTTTAACAGGTGATACTGCGGCTGCAAAGTGCATCGTGGATTGTATATATATAGCTTCATATAATTATAATTGTAATTGTCGCGTGCTATTTTTTCAAATCTCACATATATAATTAAAAGTGCTGTTTAGAGTCGCGTACGATTAATCATCGGGGGTGTCGTGCGATTATTTTATTTTGCTGATTAATACGCGTGCATAATTATATTTTCGCGAACGTGTGCTATGTGTAAGTGCCAAAAAGATATGCTAAAGTACGTACAAAAGAGGAGGACGATGAGGAATTCCAGGGAACATCGAACATTTTATAATGGAGCCATTATGCGTAAGCAGATTATAATTGAAATAAATTTATATTTTTATTTAAATTTTTATTAAAATAAAATTTAAAATAAAGTTAATATTAAGAATAAATTTGGAAAAACGAATATTTAAGGTTGGCAATGATAATCTTATTAGCTCTACTATAAATTAAAACACTAAAAAATCAATATGTGATTTGGCTATGAGGCATGGCCGTGGGTGATATTATGCACAAAAATTACTTTTATTATAATATATTAAAAATGTTTACATATAAGTAGCAAACGTTTCGGCATCTTTTTTAGGTCTTCTTCAGCGCAAATTAGTATAATAGTATAACTTAAAAAAAAAAAAAATGGAAAAAAAATTAACAACAATTACGGATTGCATTAATTTGAGGTCGCAAATATGTAGTCGTGACATAGAGATAAGGAGTGTAAAATGTTGTCTTCTTCATAATTTCGATACACGTTTTCTTCAAAGGATGTTCAATTAGTACAGAAGCAATTAATATACTATGTGGTTGGATAGATATGTATACATCTTTACGACAAGAAAATATTACTGTCGTCGTTGATGTTATATGACAGTCGACTATGGAGAAGCGTTATTACGTTAATCGTTAAACGCTTTTTATTATTACAGACATTAGTCAACTAAACGTTTAACGATAAACATAATAACGATAAGACAAACGTTTAGTTGACTAATGTCCGTAATAGTAAAAAGCGTTTAACGATTAACGTAATAACGATAAAACAAACTTCTTCATATCTGACTTTGTTATGTAACATTAACGACGAAAATAATACTTTCCTGCTGATAAAAATGCATACATATCTATTCAACTACATATTGCTTCTGTATACAAATTGAATATCCTTTGAAGGAAATGTGTGTCGAAATTATGAAGAAGACATTTTACACTTTTTATTTTTATGTCACGACTACTACATATTTGCGACCTCAAATTAATGCAATTTGTAATTAATGTTGTTAATTTTTTATCCGTTTTTTTAAAGAAGTTATACTATTATACTAATTTACGCTGAAGAAGGTCCAAAAAGATGCCGAAACAATCGCTACATATATGTAAACATTCTAATGTAATAAAAATAATTTTTGTGTAATATCACCCACGTCCATGCTCTCATAGCCAAATCACATATTGATTTTTTAGTGTTTTAATATTTAAGGTACTTTACAGAAAAAAAAAGAAATAGTATATTTTATATTTTCGATCTAAAAAATAATTTAAAAATTTAATAATTTTTATGACGTAATTTTATTAAATATATTTGTCAATGAGTGTATGGAATGCATACATATTATATAGTATCTGTATATGTAGATTAATTACCAGAAATGAACTAGAGAGCAATTAAGGAAAAAAGAGTTAAGAAATTATAATTAATATATTAACTCTATATGAAAAAGATTTAAGAAATTATATGTTAATTTTTTCATTAAAGCAATAAATTACATAATTTTCTTCAAAAAATTAAAATTATATGCTAAGCAAATAAAAGTATTTAAAATTCTCGTTTCTTTGGTTCATATATATATTTACATATTCATGAGCATGATTAAAACTTTTGATTATTTTTGTGTTATATATTAAAAATATACATATATATTATGTTATTGTGAAATGGTTTATTCTAGAGAAACAAAATAATTTTATAAATGTTTGGCCCTAAAAAACTCGAAAAAATAATGCTATATTTAAATATATAATAAAAAAGGTAAGTAAAACAAAATGGTTGTATAAAAGAGTTATTATAAAAGAATTATTATATGTAATCAAATCTCCAAGAATGCTTTCTAAGAAAGTTTTAAACCTCACGAACATTTATGGTTAAACCAAATTTTTTACTAAATCGTTCAGCGTATTGTTCTTTCTTTATAATATAATATTAAATTTATTAAAATGATTGCTCACTCTCGGAATAGCGAAGAAAAAGTAATGTCGATTTTTCGATTAAGCATTAAAAATTAACACACATTTTAATTCATATAATACTTTTACGATAAATTTATATTACGAATGTTTTATAATTTATAATATTAATTTGATCCATTTTAATGTCAATATGGAACTGTTATTGAGATGGGTTTTGATTACACGCAATTAGTTACGAAAAAGTTAATTTTAGAAACAAGATAAATAAAAAAATTGAAACATATGACATTCTTATAATTAAAAATTTAATTATGCGGACAGAAAACGCATATATATATATACATATATATATATATATATATATATATATAAAAATTAAGCAATTATTAAAATAGCTCAACATGTCCAATCTTGAAATCCATTTATTATGAAATATAAACATTTAGTCTCTTTATGACAAATTCCTTTGGCTGCAGATATTCTTCTTGATATATATATATATATTTCGAAATTATATATTCTAAATAAAAACAAAGAAGCAAAGGAATTTACTATATAATGCAGTAGACTTACAACGCCTTATATATGGTTGTTTTTTTACGTTATTGCAAATTACAAAAAATAAACGAAATATGAAAGCATTTGACTTTCTCAAATATATTTCCACTTTGGTATTGTTTTTAGTATTCTTACGATACTGCATTTCTCGTGTAGTAATTGAAAGAACAGAAGAGCAAAAATCTGAAAACTTTATTTTAATTTATATTTGATGTTCACATCGCTCACATAAAAACATACATTTTATATTATCTATACATATATGTATATTGTGTTTAGCTTTTTTATTTATGGTTCGTCCGCGTTTATGTCTTACTATGTTTATGTCTTACTACTTAAAATCTGTGTTGTCTGGGAACAATCTCTTACGACGTGAGAATAAGGTACGTACTTTATATAAATTATTTATTTTATCGATACTAATTGTACATGTAGTTCTCTATTAACACACAAAAAGTATTTCTCTGTATAACATTCCTTTTATTGAGTTATTAATATAAATTCTCGTGTGTTGCATCTTTTCTGTAAAATTATTTTTCTTTATTTTCGTCTAGGTTCTCTATAAGATCACACGTGAAATATATATATATTGAAACAGAATAGTTGTTAAATTTGCAGGATTTTGCAAACCTATAAATAAAAGATATTTTCAAATACTGGGAACATCATTATTTTCGGAGTTCTGAATGCTTTTATATACTTGAAATTAAAGAACAGAATTATTTTCAACACATCAATACTCAAAAAAAAGGAGCATTTCTTTAGATTTAAATTATAAATAAAAATAATAAAATATAAATACTTTTAAGATAAACATTTTTAATTTAAGAGAAAAATAAAGATAGTGCATGATAGCTTAGATTTTAAATTGATATTGGAAACAAGATTTAAATCTATTGATACAATAAAAACTAAACTCTGACAAAGAAGAGAGTAAATTATGTAAAATTTGCAATCTGAGAAAAACGGGATGTTATATTTTTTTCATGTAATCACTCAAAAACGTATACCGATTGTTTTAAAATATTAAACAATATATACCCTTATTGCCGTGGCATAATGAGTAGTACAATTCCAGTTTAATAATATAATTATGATATTCCGTAATTAAAATTTATAAAAAATAAAGATTTAATACACGCAAGATTGTCGTTTTTGTTTTAAAGTCTTTTAGAGTCAGAATATTTTGGAAAATATACTTATAAAACACAATCGATTTATTTTATATACTTGATAAAATGTAATTTATTCGCATAAATATCTGTTTACAAACTATAACAAAATAAATTGAACAATTGATTTATAAAAATCTGTTATTATATTGCTACAATACAAATTATAAATCAAAATTATTATAAAATTACGAGCCAAGTAAAATATTTTTGATAGATATTGCATAAGTTTTCAAAAATCCTTTGAAAGCATCGTGTCTTATTAAAACGTTCGGAAATGTCGACTTCACGAAGTACAGCAATACGAAACTATAAAAAATGATAAAGTTCTGATCTATTCATCAGACTTATTTAGAGCACAAAAAAATTATGACATTAATCCTTCGTTTAATAAATTATTGCTTCCAGTTATAGCTTTGTTTTATCCATTTTGCGAATTATTTTCATAAAGTGGAAAAATGCATTTTTTTTCTTAATCGAGATTTAATCTTCTTTAATAAGAGAGACAATATTGCAATTTATCGCTTATAATAGATTAAATTATAGAAAAATTATATTATATATATTGATCTATTCTAAATAATCACAAATTGATCAGTCACTAAGTACTTTTAACTTAAGCCTCGACTCAATATGATCGTCTACATAAGTGTAATTAATACGCTTATAATTGTCCATCACTCTTTCAATATTATATTTCACAGATATACGAGACTATCTACAAGGTGCGCCTATATCAGACTATATTATTAATATCAGACTGTCGCGAAATACAATCCCCTGCGAGCAAGTGACAGAATGACGAACAGAATGTTTGTATGTAACTCAATTAACAGAATTCTATGATACGCGGTCGATTGTTTGTTTCCGTTCGCTCATCTGCAGCTTAATTCGCATATGCATCGTTGTTTCAACCATATTCCGGATATTTTCTTAATCGACTAGTCACGTGATTTTCGCCTGTTTGCTCTCCCTTGTACTGCCTCTAATCGCTTCATCTTGGCGGGCGCGATATCTGACTTGTCATTGCGACCCCTCTAACGATTCTGATGAGATGATTATGTAATCTCACACGATCGCTTTTCCAATTGCGCGCGATTGCACTCGTTCTGCGCTCGAATCGCTTATTCCCGTAAACCACATATCTCCTCTTCTTAGATCCGCATTACGTCTACGGGCGAACGAATGCAATTGTTGTGTGACCAGTCAATTAATCAAGAACTTCAACGATACGCTTTCGCTCTCTCCGCCCAGGCGAACAGATCCACGCTGGGTATCGCGTCGAAATCCGTGCAGCGTCTCAACTCGTTTCTGAAATATCCAAATAGACGCGATATTAGACAATAGAAGTTTCGGGTATATCTTAAGGGGATCCCTCAGCAAATGACGAACACCGACAAAATAACAGCACACATCCAAAACATATGCACGTATACACAACGTGCACACACACGTATGAATTATACTTTTAATTACAAATTTTTAATAGACTTTTAATCTAAGTTTAGAAGATAACAGTGCTTTTTTTCGTGTCCTCTAATTCCAGGGAATGTGCATTTTTATTCGTAAAATGCATATGTTTTGTGTAAAGCACATATTATAATGAGATTCGTCTGCAAATCGAGATAAAAATAAATTAAAAAAAAACTGTTATTTCTCATTTTTTATATCAAATCGAATTTTCCTGGGATTATTGATGCATGTATTGCAATCGTAGAGAAGCATTTTTAATTATATATCAAATTAAAAAAAAACTAAAAGTACAAAAATATATGATTGCGTCAATAAAACAGAAATCGTGAGGGATTCTCTTAATCATTCAAATTGCGTCATAGAAACAACTGAATTTACCCTGCTTGAGGCTTGAGAAAGACATTGCGCTGCATGTGGGTGATATTGTCACCATTGTCGCAGAATATTCGCGCTAAGGAGATGTTATGCAACTCAGCCAATTGTTCTGTAACAAAGAAAATAATTATAAAAAATAAACAATAACGTATATGACTCGGAATATATAAGATTCGCCGACGCGCTTACCAGGCGTGAAGGGATGCGGTTGCGTTGCGGAATCGTAGAAGAATCTGTCGGTACGTCGAGATCGAGAAAATTGCTCGTAAATGAGGCAGCGGAAAGTCGGACCAACCATGCCGTCGTCTGTCGATCTTTCCGCCATACCGCCGACAATAAGATCAACGTCGTTAGGATGGGAATAGGTTGCGCGCAGTTTTTTCACCATCTATATAATCAATTAATTATTAATCAATTCTTAATCATTATATAATCAATAATGATTACATAATCATTAATAATTCTATACCGATGAGTTGTTGTATCATTAAGAATGTAATACAGGAGAAACGTTTTTCAAACTTACTTCTATAGGAATGTAATCTAAGAAATCGTCGAAGGTCCTGGCGGTAGGAAGCCCACAATATTTGCGATAATGATTGTATCCTGGCAAGCCATGATCGCGACCACGCTCGATATCTAAGCTGATAGCATCCAAACCTAAATTATTGCCATCACTAGTGTATAATTTGCTTGTCATCTGCAATGCAAAGTGATAATTATTATGAGAGATTTTCAAACTTTTTATTATCATCGGTATTTATGTATAAAGCACAGAAAAATGTTTGACATCGTACTTACGTCTGAAATAAGACTAATATCCATTCTCTGACTAGTTTGAGTAGCGAGACCGCGAAGTAATCCGTCAAACACTTCGTCCGATTCGATTACGCGTGGATTAAAGAAGTGCTCGGCCAGGTTCAACGTTCTGTTCTGTTGACGAGAATTATCCGGCAAACTGCAAAAAGAATCATATACGATATGTAGCCGTATGTATATACATTTCTATTCTATAAACATTTTTTCTTCAATATTAAAATTTACTTACTTCAGTTTTCCTTGCATTAATGAATTCAGAAAACGTAAGGCTGCGGTGGCGGCTTCGTTGCTAACCGTTGGTTCGTCGTCAGAATTATAATTGCGACTGTAACTATTTCCTACGATGAGACCGACGGCGCGAATGTATCTTCTGCCTAGTAAAATGGGTAGCCATTCTTTGAAAGTGATATGTTGAATCTCGGCAATTACGATGCGCCTGGCTTCCTGATACAAGATTTCGTCCGACCAATCTGGATTTAATTTGGCAAGTTTGTCGGCGATACGATTATGCTCTCGATGCCAAATTGTGTGGATCACAGCTAATTGAGGTTCAACATTCACGCGATCGTCACCTGATAGGCGTATATTTATTGAAATAATTTTAGTTGTCTCGTAACAAATATATACAATATATGTAGATATAGATGAATGGAATTGACACGTACCGGAATTGTAGCAATTTTCTCCGCATTGCGACGCGAATTCGGCATCTCCTCTCGGCAAGTACGCGTGATTGTTTCGCATGTCAACTCGAAGATGACCGCCTTCAAAAGTACGAAGCTCGCGAGATTTCTTCAAGGTAGATCCGTAAATCGTCGAAGCGTCCAAAAAGTGACTTACTTGATTCATCTGCAAGTATATTTCAATTAATAAATTATTATTTATATAATGAATCTCAGTTAAAATAATTTATGAGTTAGTTTTCAAAATCTCTGTTTCAATAAAATCAATTATAAAAAATAAAAAATAAAAATTATAAATAAGGATAAATAATTAATTATCACAATCTCAGAATCGGACAATAATAATCGCGTACCTGTTCCGCTGGTCCCAAAGTGCATTCCGATCTTAAGACAGGTAAAGAGCGAACGTAATTCATGCATCGAATGTAATGTTCACCATAAACGGGATCGCGATCTGGTACACTGATAGGAGAACAATCGGGATGAATATGACGCGGTGACAGGGTATCTCCATCAGATTGACAGCAAGAGATCGGTTTTCCAGTTGAGACTGTAATTAAGGAATAATTTCTTTAATGATCAAATTATGACGAAAAAACTGACACATTTTACAGATGTGCTCGATATTTGATTTGATATCAATGCAGTGACGTTTTTTTAGGAAAATTTTCAAGAAATTATATCACGCGAATATCGATTTATCTAACGAGGAATATTTTTATAACACAATGTAATATAATTAATAAGATGTATTTTTATTATTAAAATTTGATAGAGATTGCAAAATGATCTCAGATCGATTTGCACAGTTTTTACATAAAAAGAGAAATTAGTTGTGATCCGATACTAGCCTAAAATGAAAAAAAAAAAAAAACAAATAATAAATTAAAATTGATCTATAAAAATTCACTCACCCATTTTACGAACTGGAGTGTGAGCTATATCGTGGGCGATGAATTGGCTCCATTCCATTACGGCTAATGTTCTGCTAGCATCCGATTGATCATTCGCAGTGGACAAAGCGGCGCTTACGAGCCTCGGGCTTGGCAATGGTTTCTTTGTTTGTCCAACACGTCTCGGTTCTTGGATGCCTGCTTCCGAAATCTAACATTAGACTTCTGTCGCGTAAATAATGCAAAATCGCAAAATCGGAGTAAATCAGTGCTACTTTGACGCGACGTAGTGCTTTTGTCGAACACTCGGAAGACAGAATAAATCATAATTCTCGAGTTGTGTAAGAGCAAAATCATAATGGAAAAACGATACGATACAGTTCATAAAATGATCAGCTGTGAGCGCGAACATACTCGCACGATATTGAAATGGTGTCACAGGTCTTGTTAATGTGATTACTCCGATTTTAGCGAGCTGAAATACGCGCGCGCGCTTAAAATGGTGGCAGTGCAGCACGAGAGGAGATTATAAGAACATGCAGCTGCATATATAAAATATTCTGTTCCAGCTGCAAATAGGCAAGTTTATCGCCGACTGTACTAATCTTGAGAACCTAACTGCGCCTACCTGTCTTGCCCGCGCGATAAATTTGACACAGGGAACGATCAGGGGAGTAATTTCGTTTGCAACGTGCGAACATGTGCGAATCATAAACAAGCGTGCTTTATTATCGCTGATGTAATTGTATCGTTTCATTTCGCGACAACTAATTTAATTCCTGGCGCTGATCGGTCCCTGAAGAATCCTAAATCTCGTGCTGCAAAGCGATTAGGTACTTCGATTACATCGACTTCCACGTTCTGATGCGTTGTCGAATGACGTGCCGTTTGTTGTCGCTGTTTTCAAGCGTGACAGAGACGCGAGATTGTGTCGAAACTATCGGATATAATCGAGATCTTACGGCCGCCCGGATCGAGAACGCTCGCAGAAACGTCCCGCGAACTTATCTGAGAGTAGATGATCGTTGAAGGTGTTCGAACGAGTGAACCGATCTGGGAGAAGATTCGAAATACGACTTTTTTCAATATTGAGATTTCGCCGCTAAGTGTTTTCACGAGCAATTTTAATTATTGTTAAAATATGAGAAATTTAATCATTTATATATGTGAAAATGAAGAGTATCTCTATTTCATTTCAATGTCATATTTAAGCTTAGGAATATACTATGCTTCTATTTTATCTGGAGATATGTATATATTAGGCAGATATAACTCGAATGTCTGTTAGATATGATTGTTAGATCATGTATGACTCCCAAGTCGAGTCCCATCGCTCGGTACCTTCGCGAGAGCCGCGTATTGGCGCGAATTGAACAGAAAAGAACTCGAACTAGTGTTACATAATAAATATGATACATTATTAGGTATATCCGAATTAGTTTACATACACATTTTCTACTGCTGGATAGAATCTCCCAACCGGGGCACCCTATTGTAGGCAGTATTATTCACTGCTACACTCAGGCATTTTATGTTCTATGTGCCTTATCGCACAACAACTGTAATGCAAATCACAGAATATAATTTGTTAAGCCAATCGACGAACGTTTATCCATTTGCGCTCAAGGATCAGTATGCGTGTACGTTTATATATACTATATGCATGTAGCATTTAATATTATATATCGTACATATACATATACATATATACATGTATATGTGTTTTACGGAGGTGATAAGTCGGATAGGTAGGTAGATCGAGATTGCTGGTTCGTGATGAAATTGAACATCCAAAGACGCTCTATTCTGCTTGAATTCAAAAATAAATAATGAAGCGATTTCTAATCGGTGAGTTTTAATTGTGCCGTGACACAAATCGCAGAGAGCAAATTGTTCACAATTTAATTATAAATTCTCCGCAATGCAAATTCTTTAATACTCTCTAATATTATTACGCTATTTACAGATTAAAATTTTCCACGCGTGCTATTATTAACAAAAATATCAATTATCTTGTATATTTGCATTATATGAATAACGATAATAGAATACATGACTCTTGCTATCATATCGATGATATTTGCAAAATATCGAATTCATGCATATTTAACATCCTTTGGAAAAACGATTATTCTTATATTTTCATTTTTGAAATTTTAATGCATTAAATTCGATATTTTATCCTAATTTTAACACTACAGACTACAATAGACAAATTATTATACAGACAGAAAATAGAAATAATAATAATGAGCCTTGATTAATTCCTAGAATACGAATAGATTACTCATTTTCATCGTTAATCTTTATTTATTCTTTTTTTTTGTGATTTTAACTCGTATGTTTCGTATTCTAGGATTAAAAAGTGTGTTAACTAAACGCTGCGAAAAAATTCTAAGTGTCCTAGAATGAATCTATTATATCTCGAAAAAAGCGCAACATGAATGACATTGAGGTAACAAGGTGAATGCGATGTACCGGTGAATTCATATTCCATGTAACAAGAAGCTCGAGAATCTCGCGAGTCCGCAGAATAAAGATAATAATATCTCTTTATCTAACCTAAGTGAACATGAGTAGAGTGAAAACAAATTACGCATCCCTCTTTATCTGAGTTAGCGAAGCCGCGCTATGACACATCCATTATCGACTATCCACAGCGACTGTCCGAGCAGATAATATATAATCGCCCTCATTATTTCCAACTATTATTTTCGAATAAAAATATCTGCAAGGCTGACTAAACAATACGAATTTTTATCACCACGTAATTTGTCGCGATGACGCATGTCATCGCTACGTTTTCTCGAAACGCACGTAACAATCGATATGCAACTGCGAACGAGTATCGCACAAAGCAACAATTACCTAACACCGAGCTATTATTCGCAGTAAATATTATTATTGTTAATGGCGTAATCAAGATAAAAAATCGCGGAAAATATATCGCAACCTTATAATTTTCTATCAATTACGACTGGTTATCTCGTTATCGGTTCTTTTGATTAAAAAACTGCCTTCGCAATTGCTATTTACTTTATTGGAAAAAAAATCTTGTCTATCGCTCGAAACTGATCCTATTAAAGAAGGCAAATAATCTTCCGAGGGATAGGATGGTCAGGGATATTATATGAAATTGGAGATAAGAGAAAGGAGAGCGCCAAACGTTCAGAGGCTGCAAATAATTGTACGATTATTATTCCACACAAGAATGAACGACAAAGAGTTGACGACAAAGAACGCGCGTGTTTTACAAACTGCTCGGTTACGAAATGTTCCCGTCCCGTGTAAGATCCCAGGGAAGGGGTTCGATTTGCGCGCGAGGGTTGCTTACGTTTCGTGACTGTGGCTCGAAAATACATGACGTGTGACGCGCGATATCGGCAATTAATTTTCCCTAATAATACAAGGACGCGACGGTATGCAATTCAAGCCTGGACGAGGTGATGAGAGAACGATGCCATATCGCGAGCTAATGTTCGTTGACAAATAGGAGGGTTAGAGAAAAAGGGAGCGCGATCACGATTAGGAGACACCCTTACCGTCAAAATATTGGGAGAACAGAACTCTGGTGTACGCGGTCATCGCGCTGCCCCAGCTCGGATTCTCAATGTTGTTACAAGTGCCGTCGATGCTGCGGTACTTTGACATTTCATTGCAATCCACGCTATGCATTGTGGTGCAAGATTCACCGAGCGGGGTGCCCTGCAGACCGAGTGTTGATATGTAACGGGCGCAGTCATTTTTATCTAAACCGAACCTGCGAGAAAATTAAATTCAAAATTAAATATATTTACTTAATTAGGTATTTATATTAAAAATATTTAAATTAAATACTTATTTAATTAAATATTTAAATTTAATATTTATTTAATTTAAATATTTAGTTTAATTTTTATTTAATTTTAAATATTTAATTTAATATTAAAAAAAATTAAATATTTATTTAATTAAATATTTATATAACAAAATATACAGAAAAATTGACAATATAATAAACTATTGAAAATATTATAGAATCCATAATCTGTACAGTAAAATATCGATGAAAAACTTTGACGATTAAGGATAAAAATTGCTGGAAAATATCTCAATTAATTAATCAGAACGTACCTTCGGCAATTTTGGTGCATTAGATACGACGATGCTTTCATCGCTAGGGTAGCATCGATGCTCCTCTCAAAGCATCTGCGGAAGGATAGGAATCCAAAAATTGTTTCTGAGCCGGACTCTGTGCCTCGAATTCGATACCGGCGTTCGCGATATTTCTCTCGAGGGTCCTCATGTGATTGACTAGGTTTTGCGCGAATGCGATCGAGTTGTTTAAAGTAGCTCCATCGATCCTGGGAAATCTTCGGTTGTCGAAACGACCCGTGTCCACGATGGCATCGGAGCCGTAGTTAATGGCTGGTAATCCTGAAAACGGTTCTTTCAAATATTTCGAGATAATAAGTCAACTATAATTTAAATAACATGTAGTGTAAATTAAAACGCGATCGGAAAATGTCATTGGATACATTTTTTTGACGTTTAGTTTCATTCCGGAATAAGACCGATCGGCACGTTTGGACGGTTTCCAATAATTACTAAATTGACGCGAGTCCAAAAATAAATTACGAATTTATTTCTTCGTTGAAAATAAACGATTTAATAGAACGAACAGTGTAATAAAATATAAAATGTTTTTAAAAAGACAGATTATAGAAACACGGTTTAACACTTCATTAATTCCAATCGAGATTTCCACCAATGTATTTATAAAATATTCGCGGGAACTAAAAGGAATTGCTTCTTTGACTTTAATTTGAATTCAATTTTCGATTGCGGTGGACACTTACCACTGGCAAGATAATTCTGTAGTGACTCGGGTAGCTTGTACGTGCCGATCGTATGGGAATGTCCCAGGAACCCCATCGTCTGCAAGGACACCCAGAGGATCGCCAAAGTAGCAACGGAGCCCGCCATGACACCGCCGGCTGCACAAAACGAAATGACTGACTAATAAGATCATTTAAACGAGACGGTCTTCTCTACGCATCTCAACACACGTGACTCACACACTGCGTTTTAACTTGTACGCGACGTCGCTGGCTCTGATCGCGAATGAAAATGTTATATTAATATCACGTAGCTCATCCAAGAAAGAATGTCACCGCGCTTTGTTTGGCTCCCGTCCTATTAGTGAATTCATACATACCAGATCTTACATACATACATACATACATTCATACATTAATGAATTATGTTTGCTTATTACACCTTTTTTTCTCGTTGGCCATTATTGTCATATTTGCGTTGCATTTGCGAAAATGTGCCTAATAGTTGGATCTTGATTCTTATCTTATATTGATATTAAACACGATCTTCTTATCAATATACAACACTCTGATTAAATATAATTAGTCCGGTTAGATTATTCCAAGCATCCAATATAATAACGCTGATTATATTATTTAACGCATCTAAAAACACGCCCACGTGTATGTAAATTTGATCTTCGGAGGAGCAGAGACTTCTATTTTCTCATTCGTAGTAAGATAAAAATATTTGTGTGTTCACGTGCTTGCTGAATGTTCTCTTTGGTGTAATAAACCGAAATGTCAGATATTCTAAAAAACTTTGGTGGAGACAGCGAAACGTTTACCGTGTGTGACTTATGTCATTTTAATTTAATATTACCTTGGAATGTTTTTCTCATAATGAAAATTGTTGAAGACTTAAATTTTTTTTAATTATTGTTAACATGTTTTGGTACAATACTCCACACGAGGTATTAAATTTTATGCGATGCGATGCTGAATAGACGAACCGTCTAACCTCGATGAACTTGCAACGAAATGCATTTGCATTTTAATGAAATAAGAATGAATCATTTAGTAAATAATGTTAACATTTTAAATATAACGTGCCACACAACCTCGAGGAGATTTAACAAATAAATTTATATTGAAAAATCGCGAGAGATGAAAAATAGAGATGTATCTTACAGAATGCATTGTCGAGTTTAGGGTCAATCAATTGCTATTACGTGATAGATGCGCGTGCTAGATAATAAGCCGCATATTTTTTCGCGTTCTTCCGACCTTCGCGCATGTTGTCAGTTATTTATAGACCGCGTTTTAGTGAGACTATATAAGTTAAATAGCATGTGTGTATCTGTGTGTAATTCATACTCGTATCTTGTTAAATGCGGTAAACACGCGCTGTTCATGCGTGTAGCACATGGCCAAACATGGCTAATTTTATTCGTTATCGTGTTGATAACGTGCTCCTCCTCCACGATTGCATATAATGATTGTTTTGACGACAGGGACAGGGCAATGAGAATTAGGAATTTCCGGCTGTTCAGAATCTTAGGAAGATTACACCGAAATTAGATAATAGCGGTAATTAATTAACTTAACTGCCTATAATGGATGCAATTCGCTCCGCGATGCCTTGCAATAATACTGAATGCAACGAATATGAGATTATGTATTTTTAGATAATTTTATGTAACACATACATCTCGGAAAAAGATAAAAAATTAACAATTTAGAAAGAAAATGAATTAAATTGCTAAATCAATAATTGATCATATTAATTATACGATTTTCTTTTAGCAATAATAAGATAGTTGGACTCAATTCTGACAGTCTATAACTGATATTCTTCTCGTAATTAAGACCGATACAATTAAATATTTATTTTGATTTCGAAAATGATAGCAAGGAAAAAGTATTTTTATAATTTGACAACGTTATTAACACGTGCTTCGTACGCAAATTGCAGCTGCTCGATGCGCAATATTACCGTGCAAGTCTTTTCTATGCACGTTTATCGCGTAACAAAACAGTATAATTGAAAACGCAAACGTTCATTTGCGAGACACGTGAACAACAAGAATTGCGACGTAATGGCGCCGTTAATAGCATATTCTGGTAAACAGATTTAATTTCTGTTGTCAGAAATGAAAAAAAAAATATATAAAAATATTTTATTTTTCTAATCTACTTCTCTATTTATTTCTCTTCTACATATTTGATATGTTTATGATAATAGCATATTCCGGTAAACAGATTTTATTCCTGTTGTCAGAAATGAAAAAAGTATATAAAAATATCATTTTCTCCTAATCTACTTCTCTATTTATTTCTCTTATCTGCTTCTCTACTACATATATTTGATATGTTTCTGATCTAACGTGATATAGTCTTGCGATTGGATGCAAAATTTTCACTCTGAACAGATTATATATGTACTTTTTAGATATATGTATATATTTGTATATATTCTTATATTTTCTAACTTAAGATAAGAATGCATAATTCTCTATTGATACGTCTGAGTACACCTGAAAAATCATTACCAGAGACATGATCCATAGGCTTCTCTAATCCGTGCATCGCGTAGACCCAACGATTATTGTCAATCGGTGCAACGAGAAACATTCTCCGAAAAAGCGCAGCCAGATGCAGCGATGAGAGAGTTCAGGATTTTTCGCTACGTATATAAAATAAATTGTCAGGACGGAATTCGCGCACGTTTCTCACAGTTCTGTTTTCGTCACGCTAATTGGCGCGATTTCGCCGGTTCTCTACGAGAACAAATGTCGAAATTCATATATAGATCTCGATAAGAAAACGATACAAAAGTTTCGAGTTTGCTAACACACCTGTCAGGTGTACGCGTGGCGACCGACAGAAACGCACTTCGACGACGGTAACAACGACGGAGTTTCGTGCCGCGAATACAGAGATTCCCCTCTCTGTTTCCCTGTCTCGTTAAGTCTTTTTGCGCTCGTTCATTATTTTCTTTGCCCGCGTAATCTCTGTCGCGCCTCCTCCTTTATCTCAAGCTCGACGCTCGAGTATGCGAATAAATTGCGGTAATTGATTAAAATGCTCGTATCTATGGATTTCTCGAAAAATACGCGTTATCGCTTTGTCCCTGGCCCTCATACGTTCGAGATACGTTACTGAGTTGTTCCGATATGCAGGATATTGTTCATCTCGCTTGCCCTCACATATAGCTATACGCGGCTCCGCTTTTATGTCTCGCTCCATTCATGCTCTCTCTCTCTCCCTGTCTCCCATTCATTTTAGCCGTCTCTCTCGATCACGTGCACACGCTACGCACATTGATTCCTCAAAGGTATTCTCCAGCTCGCTCTCTCCCTCGCTACTTTTCGTTCATCTCGCTTCGCGCGCTAACTTCCGAGCGCTTTCATTGGCTCGTTACTTCCCCACTAAGAATGAGTCACCTTATTTGGCTCGAAAAAAAATTCTATCACTCGGTGAGCACGTGCTCGTCCACCTCCTTTTCCTCATCCCGTTGTGTGCCGGCTGTGTCGGAGCATTGCCGTAAGATTTACCGTGTTTCTTCCTTTGACAATACTTGATTCATCAATTTTACCTTGCATTTTATTTGCAGTTATATGTTTGTGTTTACGGTATTTAAATAGATTTAACACGAAAAATATCGAAATATTTACTCTATTGATGCTACCTCTTATATATTTTACGCTAGCTAAATCTGCAAGTATTTGTTATACCATCATCGTCTTTAATTAAGCAATTTGTATTATATTATTGTATAATTATATTAAAAATACAAAAAAATGCAGCTATTCATACTCAAATTATAGCTAAATGTATCTTGTCTTAGAAACGATAAAAGTAGTAAAAACGTGTTAAAAAATGTGTAAAAAAGAATATTTATATCAATTATATCTTTTATTTATCTCTATTTTTTCTCAACAAGAGTACAATGTTACTTTCATTATACAACAGATAACAATTGGACTTTATATAATACAGTAGAATTTTATAACATACAGAATATATTTGACAAATTCTATAAAGGAATTTAGCTATTTACTTTCATGTATCTCTAAGGGTCTTTATGTATCGTATAGATTCCCTTATAGTACACCTTTATCATTCCGCGCAATCTCTATATAGGTCTCTCCCAGTACTTTTCCATTACTTTCGCCGTAGTAATATATAGGGTGTACAAAAAAACATAGTTCTCTTTTTCTTTCCATTAAACTTTAGGTTTTTTTAAAATTAAATTTTGATAGTCTTTTCTTTAGTAAAATTAAACATTTAATATAATGCATATACTTACATATATTTTCAATGCTGACAAACAAAATTTAAAAATAGTAGTGATATCTTTGTGTCCCGAAGAAAGATAAATTTGACAACGCGCTTTTATATATAAATCTGGCATTGAAAATAATTCTTCTATATGTGTAACACACTTGGAGAGATTGGCTCAACAAACCCATAATTAAATTGCAATTAAATTACTGCTGAATGATTCGCGCGTGCAAAATAATACCGTATATATGAGACTTACGAAGCAAAGATAAATGGCTTAATTGAAAAGTATTGTTGCCAATAAAAGATAATATAAATGGTAGATTGTATAAACTTCTGCCATTTTTTTCGATTAAGCAAAACCTTGATAATAAAAGTGTTGAGGTCAGTCAAAGGAGAATTTATTAAAAAGAATGAATCGATCGAGGTCTGCACTTATTGTATGCAGAAAATATAAGACTGAACAAACTGCATATTTTAAGATAATCATTAAAGTATTCTTCAGATATTCTTTTTTACCTACTTGTGTAAAACTTATCACGTAATTATTTATATGCGTAATTGTTCGGTATAGCTATTTAAAATTATTAATGAAATAGACACTAAGTAAGAAATATTTTCGTGATATATCTTCATCTTGTGTTTTATTATTTTACTTTACAATTTTTTACTTGCACATGTGACACATTTGATATTTGACAAGATAAACCAAAAAATAATTAGAACTTTCTCCTTTCCAAATATTTGGATACAAGTTGTATAGCCAATGCTGGATGTATTTCTACATACATCTATAAACAAATATAATGGATAATAATTTTTAAGAATAATAAATTTGCTTAATTTAATTCTCGCTTTGCTTTATCTTTTTTAAAAAAATATTGGGAGACATTAATTGCAAGATTAAAAACATCTTCCGATGCTTATATCATATTCGAATTCTAAAGTAAATATCTTTCATTAAAATTGCACAACGATTTATTTCTTGGATTTTGGAACGCGAATTCAAATCGGTCACTATTAACAATTGATGAGTATCTTCTCGCATGACAACACAGAACTTTCGTGGCGTTCGCTGAAGACGCGTCGTTCAGGTCGACGAACGCGTGTGCCGGGCTTACCTAAATACGATTTCTTGCAGCGTTCTATTCGTAGGTAGTCGTATACGCAATCGAGTATCTCAACACCCATCTTTTCCCTCTGGAATGAATGTTGAGAGGGCCGTGGGAGAGGCCCTGCTTGCTCGTGGAAGTTACACCGATGATCACGATTACTCTTCGCGAAAATATGCGGTGTGCACTTGGATTATATGTATATAATATACATATATATATATATATATATATTCACCCCGGATCAATATATACTCGAATATCGGCTCGCGCAACCCCTTTTTCGCGCTCTTGAAAAGTCGTGATTTCAAACCTCTTTTACGAATAAATTCTACGTTGGCACTGTGTTACTTGACTTTCTTTATACGTCAAATTAATGAGAATAAATGCGGAGCCCAGGCACGAAGCAGCTGATTCTGCCGCATCAACTATTCGAATTCGGTTTCCCTACCCTACTCTTACTCGGTCGATCGAAGTTTTCTCACCCTCCTTTAACGCATGCGCCTTTCGGTCATTCGGAAAGTTACTGTGCATATGCGTATGCGTAGGTGTCACATTTACACCATAAACATAGAAAGCGTAGACGTACAAAGAGAGTGGTATTTTTAATGAGGTACATTTTTTTATAAAAAAATGCAAGGGATGAAAAAGAATAGAGAATTCACTTCATTAAGTAGCTTTATTTTTTCCACTCCAAATATTTGCTGTTTATGCAGATTTAATGCAATTGCATGCAATTTGCACGCTTTCTATGTCTACGGTTTTCACTAATACTCTGCATATCTTGCATTGCATCGGGCATGCGGTCAATGTCATCTAATACGGCGCTAATTGCATCTATTATTCAATATTGTCTGGCAATTGTGTCTGAGTAGTCGGTGATGTAATATTAAAAAATGTGATTAAATAATTTACATAATGAAAATGTAAGTTCTTATGCTATACACACTCAACACATCACAATTATCAACTTCAATTTTAATAGATTCTCTGATCAATTTAAAATCGATTTTATCTTATTTGAAATGAATTCCAAGCAACTGAAAATAAAGGAATTCTTTGAGAATAAAATTATAAATTTCTAGGATACAAAATAATAAATAAATCTTATGTTTCTTCAAATTACAACAGTTTCAAAATTTTGGAACCTTAAAATTTACTTATTGTTAGAATTCTTAGATTTAAATGGAATAATTGCATAGAGAAATAAAAAATTGGAGAAACAAAAAATATTATATGTAGAACTAACTCGATCTTCAAATTATCGTTAAAAGTGAGTTGAAATGACAAATAAAGCAGATTCAAGAAAGATTAAATCGCGAGTGTTCCGCAGATGTTTGCAGAATGTTGAGAATGACAACAAGCGGTAAAGACGTGTAGGCCGGTTAAACTAGCACGTGATACGAACGTGATGATGAACCATTTCGTATAATGTTCTTATGAACCCCGATCCCTTCTTTCATTTTTTTCCTCATCTTGTTTCTTTTAAAGAAATAGGTTGCATTGACTATGCAACTTTATTTCTTTTCTTATGTTTTCTTCCATAATTTGTATTTTAGATATGCATCTAATTTTCTCCCATCCCTTTCAATTTGTATACTTAAGATATATAAAAATTAATGAGTTAATAATAATTGAGATCTATTCTTTAAATAAATGTCTTTTACGTAACTCTTTAATTATTACTAAAACTAAAACTAAAATATTTATTTAATTATTTTTATACATTTTTTTAGTTTTAAAAAAACTGTTAAGCACATTATTAAGTATACTATTAAGTAGAAATTTTTTGTATGAAGAAACATTTTTATTAATTGGAAAACATATAATAATGTTAAATTTTAGCTTGATGCAACTACGATATAATCAATACATACAGAGGCATCTAAAATCACAAACTGCAACTCTCTAGTAAAATACATTTATCAAACAGTGATAATAAACTGATATCTTAGTTATTTTGAATGTTTTAAGCATATTACGCATTGTGCTATACTATTTAATATGAATGTGTGTAAGAAAATTATGATTTTTTAGATTATAAAATTACTTTTCGACCATGAGAATTAATTTTAATATGATGCAATAATTTAAACATTAAATAAGAATTAATTTTTTATGCAAATATTCTTCTACAAATGTAAGAAATAATTTATAAATAATTTATAAGAGTAGTTTATAAATAAAATTTTGCTTCTCTTGGTTTTTTTAAACTATTTATTATGCACATATGAATGATATTGATTAGCTGCAAATTTGGATTTTGATGCAAAGAGAAAAACCGGTTTCTTTTCGTATATATTGATACACAATGCTAATGAGTTATTCAACAATTTCCATTGCCCGTATCTCCTTAAAGCAGAAGATATATCTTCTGTTTTATGTGCACCGCAGAATTGCTTACCTTGCACTTCAAAATTGCATCCAGTATTTTTGCAAATTATAGTCTTATCAAAATTATATTGTAATATAAAAATGAACAATAAAATATAATCGCTTAGAATTCTACTTTTCAGCACAATACACGTTATACACACAAAAAATGACTACTCTTTCACACACAATTTTAACCACCAAATCGAGTGCATACTACATCTATACGAGAAGCGCATTCGATGTATTTATATAAGGAAGCGTACTCACGCAGCGATATTCTTCGGTTGATATCTTGACGAGAGAACTTCGATATTGTTGACGAGACAAACTGATTCGTTTGTCGAATAACGCGGTCACTTTATATCGGGCAGTACAAATTCCAGAATTACTGGCAACGTTGCCTCTGTTGCATCCCCTTTTTTCTACTCGAAAGTAATTATCTCGAACTGTGACGTTTTCGGATAAGGACGAGAAAATATGCTGGGGAGGTCGTTCCAGGTCGAAGCTTTACTCCGGATCGAAAAGTTATCGCGACTTGTGATGCAGTCACGCGCTTATATAGTCTTGAGAAATTGACGACATGATGACGCCACGATGACAAATTGGAGGAAAAAATGTAGACAACACATAGAAAGAGAGATACGATTCGTAGAAGGCAACTGCGTAAACAAAGGGCTCGGCTTTAATTGTATTTTAATTATAAATTAATGGCGTACAACTCAGCGCGCGATGCATTTGATTAGAGGAGTTTTTGAATATAAAGATAAGAATTTTTATTGCTTAATGGCTATGGCTTTTGTCATTTTTTACTTGTTGAGTAAGACAAGTCATATCGTTTTATATAAAGCTCAAACTATAAATACAAAATATTTTTTAAATTTAATTTTAATAAGCTGAACAATTAGTTCATTACATTTATGAAATTCATTGAACTGTAACAGTAAATACGACGAATGAAATAAAAAAGTCCTGAATATAATCGATAAATATATATTATACGTATATTTCTTTTTGTATCTTTGTATCTTTTCTTATACTTTCTTAAGAATATTAGTTGAAAATATGTGATGTCAGAAATTAATATCTTAACTGTGTAATAATTATAAACAAGAATTGGAGCAATCGAGGAAAATGGTAGTGGAATATATTACTTGCTTCGATAAAAAACACGTAATTGTGAAATCCCAGATCCAATCAATATTTCTTAGTATGTAGGAAATCTACGTCATTAAAACGAAAGCATCACTCATCTGTATATACTAGGAAAAACAATTCTTATGCTAACGCAAATAATTATTTTAAACTCGAAACATTCCGTTTCATTTTATGCTGCGTTTAAGTTCGTGACCAGTGACATATATCAACAATGGGGCCAACGATCTTCTTGACACTCAATCTTAGTTATTTTCATTCACGGTGCAAAGTCTTCTTATGCTTTATAAGAAAACATGCTCTCCTTCTTTCGTAAACTGATAGCTTCAAAATAAAACTGTTAGCATGCTTTTATAAAGCATTACTGATTTCAAATTTCAAATCGGTATTGAACGACTTCATTAATTTTTATTTTTATGATTTAATATTATATGTACATAGATATCTCGAATCTTAAAAAATCGTGCAATATAATCATATTTTTCTAATTTTCATTATTTTTTATAAGACGTATAATTTTATTATACATATATGTGTTATAAGAATATTTATTGAGAGATTATATCTTTGCAATTCTATGAAACATTTTCTAAATATTTTACAGAATTATAGAAATTATAAATTATTAAAAATACAACCTAGTGAGAAATGATCGATTCAACCAATTCGACGTTGAATCGACGTCGATTTAACTATCATTTCTCACTGGGAGAATTAGTTTGCAAGTATAATTAAAAATTGTGAAATCGGAAGTCGACAGCCAAAGAATCTGTTAAAAAAACTATCCGTTTAGGATATCTTCTACACGTTCTTAGTCCGCGAGATAAATTGCAGACTGATTGATACTCGTTCGCAGACAGTGCAAATAACGAAACGCAGGATTGATGCCGGAAATAAATTACGTGTTATCGAAGTTCGCCGGATCAATTATAAATTACGCGGCGCGTGATAAATATTATCATTTAATGCATTTATAAATGTTTCGAGAATTAATTGTTAGATTCTTGTTTTATACGTACAGGAAGAACTTGTCTGCATACATAGTTAGTCGAACAGATACTGTTGATTGGAAATGATCAACAATATATTTTGAACATGCAGGCAGTTTTCATTTAATAACGTATATGTTATGAGATTTTATGCATTTTTTCTATAAATATTATTGATAACAGACATTTGATATGTTACTTATTTGTTGCACCTTTCGTTGGTAATTGGTTCTATAATGCATATACGGACTCTAGATTACTGAATGAATGATATTAATAGTTTGTGATTAATCAGGATAAATAATGTGTTATTTGAGCAATAATTATTACGAAATACGCTTTATGTCGCGTTTTCAATATTTATTATTGAAGCTGCATTAATCAATCGAAAGTGCATTAAAAATGTAAATGTTAGCGATTAGCGCAAAACTAACAAGTTCGATTTTTCCGATTTTTTTTTTATGAAAAAAGGCGAGACTTGTATACGTTAATAATTTAGCATATTATAATGTACATTTCTTGAACTATGAATAATTTATCTAGTATCTAGTATATAGTAATTTTTATTAATAGTTTCGTCAAAAATATGTATAGCTAGTTTAGGCGATTTTTATACAAAAAAGGACGATGTTACGTCCTTTTTCAGTCGCAATTATGATAGCGCGACACTTTGTAACATATGTGATTATTGGTTTTTAAGTCGATTAAAATCGAAGGTCATACATAAGTAAAATCAAGCGATGCATTGAAAATTGCATTGAAAATCGTTATTTTTCTCGTTTTTCCACGTCTCAGTCATATGTTTAATCATTATCAATTTACTTTCGCTGATATTTATACATATAATTATATATTGCATATAATTACTTATTTTCGTAATACACACATTTAATATAATGTTATACAATTTTTCTTTCATGATTTTCTATGTTTTTATACATTATAATTAAAAATACCGCAATTATTTTACAGAGACTAAACATATTTTCCTAAAAGAAGATGATCGAGATAATTGATAGATGTTTTTAAAAACATTTCATAAAATTAAAGTCGTATTACAGTAAGCAAAGTATTCAATAGATTATATGTATAAATATACATTTATATATTAACGTGTTAATAAACAGGCATCTGCAGTACCTATTCATGATTAATGTAATATAACAATGTTTTTTTTCAAAAAGTCTGTTCTTTCTTAACATCTAAAATTTCCATGATTTGTCATACCTTAATGATAATTCAGTAGTTTTCTGAATATTGTGCGTCACCCAATTAAGACTCAAAAATTACGGCGTGCGTGAAGATAAGATGAATCAGACGGTCAAACTATTAAAAACGCTATTTGATCAGTAATAGATGTTGATCATTTTTTATTTAAGTTAATCATTGATTTATTTCTTACTCAGAGCATTCAGTTCATCTTTCTGATAGGTTGTCGTTATACGATATTTATTTCGTCGGCAGTTGAACACAAATTGTGGAAATGTACATATTTCGATATTCTATTGTATATCTTTCTCCGCATCTATGATTGATACACAAGATGACTAAATGTATACACAGTTGCGAGGCAAGAAATTAAGAAATTTGATGAAAATTACATGGTTATCGTTGTTTTTATTTACCGAGTTTTGATAATGTGGGATAGTGATGCGGTGTATAAAAGAGCCATAACACAATACTGATTTCAGTATTGTTTCTACAATGACAAACGGGAAAAGTGAATTCATGATGAAAGAAAGATCTGACGGTGCAATGTTTTCGAATGGAAAGACATCGATGAAAATCGAATGTATGTACAATAAAATATAAGCATCCAATGGCGTATTTATGAGAGAAGGGTTGGGGAGGGTTGTCAAATTTTAGTTTCCCTCGAAATCCGAAGAGTTTAACTGACTAATTGTAAGTTCAATATTTCCACACTTATTAAAATACAATTTTTTATAAAAGCAAATCTAAAGCTTAATCTTCTTTGCTTCATGTAAAGTGTAAATTTGGTTTAATATAATCGTTCTCCCAAAATTTCAGCTCTCCTCTGCTCCAAAATAAAATCCTAAATACGCTACTATATAAGTATTCATTTCTCTTACTTGTGTAGCATTATATGTATTATATGTTATTATAATAATATTTGGATGAAACTTGTGAATTTTTATATTATAATTTTTCCTGTGATTCTTTCTGGTCGACTGATTAGCCATAAAATGTTGCTATTCTCGGCAGAAAATACACACGTCTGCATCACACATGTGTGTATACCATCTCCGGCGCCAGCGAACCGGTATATGATAATCAAATTAGTATGCACTAAACATTAATTTTTAGGCCGAATGCTAATTTTAAATCTTGTTATGCGAAATTCCACACAAGACAGTACAAGTATGTTTAACAGAGTTATACGGATGCAATTATCCTCTCGGAAAATAAGATGACACATATATATATCTCAACCAACATCCTCTAATTTCTTAGACACAATATATCTATTAAAACTTTTTTTCGCTCGAGAATTGATTATTATAAATATACAATCCAGTGGAAAACACGTAGATTTCGCGAGCCAAGCAAATGTTTGCGCTCGTGTTATCTATCATCAGACATTATTCGTTTGGTGATTTATGAACGATAACAAGGAAAGCATTGGAAACTTTTTATCTGATTTCATCCTCCCTCGTATTTGTGGGTGCAGGAGATGATTTTTTCCCGTTGATACACGATATTATACAGATTCTTTCAGGAACCTGTTCCTGAATTATCGCCCCACCGGCGTCAATCGTCTTCTTCGCGCTTTATTTGCCTCGACTACTTTTCTCGCGAATCAGTCAGTTTAGCGATTGTCGCGTATCATTATACACCCGATCGAGGAAGCGTGCCCTAAAGAAGTGTCCTCGAGGTGGTTCATGCGCGGCGGCCAAGAAGACGAATAAATAAGGGGTAGCGCATCGCGAGTTTGCTGTACTTGCACTCCCGATCGCTGCATTTTTGCAACTTCGCTTTCTATTATTCCCCAAGTTGATATTACGTAAACGAAGAAGTGATAGATAAAGATATTTTAATGAAGTCGCCGGTAGAATCTAAAGGCAAGTAGTCGCTAAATTTATTCGCATGTATCTAATCTATCTTAATGTTTTTCAACTTTTTTTGAACAGAATATTGTTGTCCCTCTCTCCCTCTTTCTTTTTATAACAATTAATTAATAACAATTTAATTTATATTAATTATTGATTAAAAGGAATGCATGTATATTTGTGTTCTGGACGGCAGAATAATTTAATTTCTAGCAAATTATTGAAAGATACTTTTATTTAATTACAGCTTTATTTATTATATTGCATTTAATGTTAACTTTTAGCTACGTATTTTGTATTAAGCGTACATATAAATAACGAGACTTTTTATACAGGTCTATTGAATTTTTTTTTGAGATGCTAACTTCCGCTTTTGCAGCAATTTTTATTTATTGCATTATGAAATAATGAGTTACCCAACAAATTATTATTAAACACACAATATGAAATTGCATACTTCATTCAACATTTTGTATTATTATAAGATAATATTATTTATTTCGATATTCGAAGTAGTTCTTATAATTTATTGAGTAATTGAATCTATAGATTGTAGCAAAATTGAAAGAAAATTACCAATTTTAATTATTTCTTTCTATTACGACATTAACGAATTTATTTGCTAGTATTAATCTAATTCGAATTGAACAATATATTTTAATATTTTCTCAACTGTTTATTTTTATATGTATATAAAAAATTTTTAATTTTATTGTGAACTATATATTATGTAATTATTTTACATAATTATGATGTCTCTTCTGATTGTAAAAAATATAATTTATGATTGCAGTTATTAAAAATGTGTGAATGATACATAATAATTTGCGTATGTACAATATTTCTTCAATTGTGTGTGAATGTAAAATAATTCGATGTTTTAACATTTTATCATGTTCTTACAAATTTTACATCTTTATTCATCATTTTGCTTATTTTATTTAAATTTGCCTTTTTTTCTAAAATAATTTATGTATTTGGTAAAGTTATAACACAAAAAGTTATTGATAAAGTTTCTAATAAATATTAATTGCAATGTGTTTATCATCTTAGGCGTAATTTTAAAAAATACTCTCTTTTTTATCCTAAGGAATTAATATGCAAAAAACAGGTAAAAGAAATATAATTATTATCAGTTTATAGATAACATGATTAACTGCTATATACGTTGACATTCGTACATTTTTTATAATTTTAACTTATTATTTAATAAAATAAATCAATTTTTAAATCATTCAAAATTTCATTTTAAAGGAAATTTTGCTAAGGAAACACTGCTAAGAAAATTTGAGACAAATATCAGACAATTTCGCTAATGCTTGTAAATAAGAGGGGTTTAGGTGGGAAATTCTCAAGTAAATATTTTGACAAGTACATCGGTGAATCATTAGTCGAGCTCGTTCCATCACGTTAAGTTCGCGTTGTCTTCTTGATCGTGTGTAATTTTCAGAAAGATAATTACGACGTGATTAGTTGCGAATGTTATGCAAGTTGAAAGTGTCTAATCAAATATACATTATCATATTTTACTAATCCTACGACGCTCTTTGCAAAGCACGACGATTTATAAGACTGATATATAGTGCCTCGACCGTAAAATACGTTTATTGTAATTAAATTATTTGATTCGCATTTTCTGAGAATATATTACTCCATATTGTAAAAGAGTGATTAATTGTTTGCATGTACAATGATTGTATTGTAAGAAATACACATTAAACGCGCAAAAAGGTTTTTCGCGTAATATATAATGTAACAAATTCTATATGACATATTTTGTGAAAGATTCATTTTTCATACCGGATTATCTTCTAAATCTCTTGTTTCTTTTATTTAATTAAAATGATAATAATATCGTATTGAAGAATAAACGAATGAGTTATATAGCGAATTCGGTTGGATGCATTGAGTACCTATAAAAGTTATCACACACAATTTTATAATAACATAAATTAATTAAAAAAGTAAAATAATTAGTAATAAGAGCTATTATTATCACTATTTATATTGAATAACAATAATAATAGCTCTTACTATTAATTATTTTTTTTTTAATTATACTTGTGTCATTGTGAACTTATATGTGAAAAATCTTTATATGCACTCAATGCGCATTAGTGCATCCAATTAAATTCGTTAATAGTGATATTATAAAAGCGTATAATGCCGAACGAATTTGTGATATAGAAGGATAACATAAATATGTTATTACTACCTTGAAAGTCTTGTCTTAAATAAAAATATTTTCGACATTTTCAAATGTGTAACAATATTGACAGTTTCTTGTGACCGTACGGATATATCGAAGTATCAACGTCATACGAAATTAATTGCGAGAGTGTGGCCGTGATAAATAGCAGGAAAAATGATTCTTGACCGCCTTCTTAATCTGCTTGCGACATATACATCATTTAAGCACAGACGTATGAGTTGTCAGTCAGGTGCATTATCAATTTTAATTCTACGAATCTATACCAGCCACATTTACCACTATGATTTATCGTAATTCAGCTGTGATTGTTTATAGATGAGGAAACAAAATCTGAAAATTCAGGTCCGGCAGATTTCGAACGGGCAATTAAAGCAACAGGTAAGTAAAGATTTTCGTATAATTATGGTAATTCTTAATATTTCGAGATATCATTTTTTTAACATGTTCACCACTGTAATTTTCACTAACTTCGTGGAGAACAAATTGCATATTATATATATATCGGTCTATTTTTTTCTACAATTTTTGACGAATGTTTATATTGCAATTGATTGAGTCGCTATTTTGGCGATATATACATATTGTAAATATTAATATTGTAAATATTAATTGATATGGGAGATATTATATTATAGGTGACAAATTATAAAATGATCCATCACATATCAATATGTCATTCATGATTATTTCGAACAATGTGTTGAACAGAACTAATTTAATTATTTAATTGCATTAATATATGTCTACTTTTGTTACAGGCTATGGAAAATTTAATTACTTATTTTTATTGGCGATGCTCCCGGCCAGTTTCGCCAGTATCTTCTCATCTTCGGTGATGTCCTACGTCTTACCATCCGCAGAATGTGATCTTCAACTAACTATGTTCGACAAAGGACTGCTAAACTCGATGACGTTCGCAGGTGGTATTTTCAATCCGCTTAACAATTGCATAACAACGGTTCATTACAGATGCGAGGGAGCTCGATGAGAGCCCTAGAACGCCAGAGTTTAGCACACTTAGAGTGTATGATTATCGTGCGGTGTACACTGCTGGTTTGTTGTAGGCAATAGTGAGGGCAAACACAAACCCACGGTAAATACCGTATCATTTTATTTCTTGTCGCATGCGAATTCCGATTGGAATTCCGAAATATTTTCGCTCGATTTTTTCGCTTACGATTGCTTACGATTCGCGCGAGCAGCGCTTGTCCAGTGGCGGATTAAAGCCCTTCATATGGGCCTCATGATACAGCCATTCCTGGGAGCTCTCCTTGCTTGCAGTAACCTTGAAAGAACTCGATGACAATGCTTCCTATTTTGCATTGCTATTTATCTTATTAATAAAAATAGGATAACGCAAGAGTTTTTATTTTAAATAGAAGGATTTATTTATCAAGAGAAAAAAGAGAAATTAAACATATATATATATCTACACATATTCTTGTTTGTTACTAATAAATGTTATTAATACATTTGTAAAATTTATTTAAAAAATTTAGAAAATATATAGAATGAGACTGTGAGATTGGAAAGCAGAATATTTACATAAATATCTTTTTTGAAATTGAGAATATGCAAATGTGAGTTGCAGTTTAAATAGTAATTAATTTTGCACTTATCAGAGAATATATAGAACTCACAGACTTTGGAATGCATAGTTATATTTATATTATGTAAATGTGCATCTCGCATCTCTCGATTCCCGATTATAGAATTTCGTATAAAACAGAAAAGTCAAACATCTTTAAATTAAAATTCTCAGCTTAGAGGTTCCTAGGTGTGTACTTATCGAATAATCCGACATTGATCTTGTCGTAAGTTTGTAGGATATTACAAATACAGAAATAATATTGCTTAAAAAAATAATGCATTTTATATAAATGTTCAATTTTAACTGTACATTATCTCTTTCATTTTTTGTTTTAAGATTCAATTTCTGGCGGAAGTATATACTTGTAAAGGCAGAAATGACTAATTTGTCGATTTGTTTCAGGAATGATTAGCACAGCATTTTTCTGGGGTTGTATGGCAGACACATTCGGCCGTAGAAAACTAATGTTCTATGGTTACTTGGTTACCGGTCTATTAAGTCTAGCAACATGTTTTTCGCACTCCTCTTCACTTTTAATATTGTTTAAATTTTTCGACGGTGTTATGTAAGTTGGAATCGATAATTGTTGCGATCACATAGATGTTATATTCCATATATACAATGTATAAATAAACAGTAATTAAGTAATTATTTATTATTAATTATATATTATTAACTATCACTGACTATAATATTGTATTTATATTCTGTTATAACTAAATTTGAATATTTGATAAATTTCTTATATTTAATAAATATTCTATATTTATTCGCTCTTACTTTTCCAATCTGATTATGAAAAATTAATATTATAATTACATTTATGCACGCTCACATATACATCGCACACATCAATATATATATAGAAAGTAGAATAAAATTATATAAAATTACATTTTATACATAATATAGAAAGTAGAACAAAATAGAATAAATTATGCAACACAAAAGTTAACATTTTAATCAATTGTAGTATATCTGGCCCATACGCAGCACTTATGTCATACTTAGCAGAAATACATGACGAAGTTCATCGATCGCGTTCATACATGTGGCTTGGCGTGTTCTTTTCGCTTGGAAATATTTTCCTGCCATGTAAGTACAACCTTGACATACCTTATCTGAAAATCAACAAAGGGTTCAATTATACGACGACTTTTAAGCCTGCAATGCGTATAATTATAATCTTGTACATTGTAAAATTTATTTAGTACTACAAAAATAATTAAAATTGATCTAAAAAGTTAACAAAAATAATAAAAGACGTGCAGTTTTATTTTTTATAAATGTGCAAATATTTTGTAATAAATAAATTGGTATAAAATAAAATATAATTTTTTTCTTCTAGGTGTAGCGTGGCTTATACTACCTCAGAAATGGGACATTACATTTTTTAACCAAACTATAAACATTAATTCGTGGAGAGTATTTTTAGCGATCTGTTCATTACCGGAATTTCTAGCATGCGCTGCTATTTTCGCTTTCCCAGAGAGTCCGCGTTTTCTTATCCTGAAAGGCCGACACGATGAAGCAATGAATGTCTTCAAAAAAATCTACTCACTCAATACTGGAAAAGATCCCGATACATATCCGGTAATTATGTATAACAATATATTTTATTCAAAAGTAATAATGTATTTAGATATTTTATTCTAACTTGAAAAATTGAAAAAAGTTTTGAAAATAATGAATACATTTTAAAATGTAATACCGATTAAAATCAGCATAAAATTAAACTCCTTGATTGAACTGTTCATTTATTGCCAGGAATAACTTTGCATCAGTAATCGAGTAGCGAATAAAATGTGATGTAATTTATAAAAATGTTAATCTTAAAATTACTTCGATAGTATATTATATAAAATATGTATGATAATTACGCATTGCGTTTGTGAGATCATTAAATTTATTAATAGTAATGCTGCCAAGTTTGTAAATGATGCCATTTAAATGACAGATAAAATCTCTCGAGAATGAATATTCCGTCAAACCTTCTGAGGAATGTATACAGGACAAGTTGTGCAGCAGCTTCAGACAGATGAAGCCTCTCTTCTTGCCACCCAATATCTTCAAATTAATACTTATATCGACGATACAGCTGGGAGCAACATTAGGGTTGGTTTAATTTTTCTTTCTTTCTCTTTTTAAATTTTAAATTAAAAAAAATACAATTTATAAGATTCCAAATTGCAACTGTGCAGTTCGAACTCGCTGCGACTTTGGATGCCACAGTTGTTTGTAATGATTGAGAGTTACAAGAGAAATCTTATGAAGAATGATAGTCATATATCAGGTGTGCAGCCTTCATTTTGTTATATGTTAGTCCAAGAAGAATCGTATCTTAATTCCACTCGATATGTCAATAAGATGATGAATAATGACACATTTACATGCGTTCCGGTAAGCTGTTTTTCTGATGTGGATAATCTTTGATCAGTTTATGGAAAGTGAATCTGAGAAATATCAATTATATGTATATGCATATCAATTTCAGGCGGAGTTAAATGCTCAAGTTTTCATTAATTCCATCGTTATCGCCGTTACAGGTGTAATTGGTTATACTTTGGCTGGTACTTTGATTAGCGTAATTGGAAAAAAGAAACTGATGAGTAAGATATCGATGCAATAATTAGTAATAAATGGATAATGACTTTATTCATGAAATCAGCTGAGAAAGATAATGTTTACGATATTGTAATTTTCCGATCTACAAAATCTATATAATTATCTGTAATTATACTATAATTGTCATATACTGTTCCAGTAAGTTGTTTTATCATTGCTGCTGCCTGTTGTGGTTCGCTTTATTGGGCCGAAGATACTAGTGGCATTCTCGGATTATCCTCGGTATTCGTCGCTATGTCGAGTATAGGTGGTGCGACTGTTATAAATGTCATCGTTGACAATTTTCCTACATGTTTAAGGTATGGCAGTAATTTAAAACATTATACAAATTAATTTAAATTTAAATTTAAAAAATTAATTTAAAATTTTAAATGAATGAATGAATCGTTATTTATTAATATTTATAATATTTTTGATATTGATATTTATAATATTTCTGATATTGATTTTTATAATATTATTTTGTACCACAAACAGAACAATGGCAGTTAGCATAACCATGATGATGGGAAGATTAGGTGCAGTGATAGGCAATTTATTATTCCCTGTTTTATTCAATTTATCATGCCTAGAACCATTTATTATGATTGGTTTGATTTGTTTCGGTAAGAAAAACAGATTGTATATAGATTATCGTTTTTTTTTGTGTCTACTTAAATATAATTGTATATGAAAGATTTTTTAAACATATGTTTGAAATTGTTCTAGTGTGCGCATTTTTGGTTGTTATGCTACCCCATAAGAAAAAATGCAACGACAAAACAAAGGATATTGTTTAATCTTTTCAGATATATTCTGTATCTGTATATTTCATTTCTTCTCATAAAGTCGATATGTAAATATATTTTTGTTATTATATATTTTAATAACTATTGTTATTATTATTTTTAAGATCTATTTCTTACTATATATTTTTTATACATCATGTCATGAGTAAATTGTACAATCGCACAGTGTATATATGCATACATTTATATTATACTATACATTTATATTAAAAAATGTATTTTCAAAAATCTGCGGCATTAAATATATATCAGAATCAATCTCAATAATATTTATCATAATTTTTTGTTATATGTAAACATTACAAAGTAAACAAATGTAAGCGTAACAAAGATAAAATAAAGAACTAAAATATAAAATAAATATGAAATATGAATAGCACAATGTATAAAAAATGTAATAAAATTGTATTATTACTAATATCTATCTTTATTCTATATTGCTTGCAATGCAGGATATAAAGACATGCAGCAAAATTTATTTATTTGAATTGAAGATCGAAGGAATAAAACAATATTACAAATTATTGTTTTATCTTTACAATAACTGTTTTTTTTTAATAACTAGAACAATACAGGCGTGCGCTTTGCGTAATAATCCGACCTCGTTATTTTTTTGAGATCGTTCTTGTGATGCGATCAGTATGGGGTAGACGTATGCACATAATATTGCATTTAGCCTTGTAGGCAGTTTTGCCCCACTACCAGAGTATCACTGGGGGCTCAATATTATATTACGATGAAACGTTCTCTACTCTCGTGATTTGAGTTTTATCGGCTCTTCATGATTTGAAAGAGATATACGTTTACACGAAAAAATATTAATTATGTTTACAGGACAATAACAAAATATTTAAGATATTAGACAACAGAAGCGCGTACTGTGCGCGCGCTATTGTCTGGTTTCATTTTATGATTTTAGATAATGATTTAATTTAATTAATTTAATTTTATTTTATTTTAATACTTCGATATAAATTGAATTTAATCAGTTACAACATGCCTTTTTTTAGAAAGGTAGGTTTAAATTAAAATATATTTTGCATCCAATTTTGAATTTTTAAATATAATTTAAGAACAATTTAAATATAATTTGTTTGTCATTTTGAATTAAAATTGTGAAGTAATATATGACTCATTATAAGTCGAATGATACAGAAATGACTGAAAACTATGAAACATGGATTATTTATTAATTAATAATTAATAATTTTTTAAAATATTAATTATTTTCAGCTCTATCACAATTTGAATATCAATTATTTTCAGCTCTGTCACAATTTACATAATAAATTGTATATTTAATTTATAATATAAAAACGCGTTATTATTAATTGTGCATATAATTATTAATTGTGTAAATAATAAGATAATTGTATAACTTATTTTTATAATGTTGATTATATTTTATTTTCTTATAGTCTATCTATTTTAACTGATAGTTTGGTTTTACATTTTTTAAGTAAACCAAATTATATTATAAAATAATGTAAGATATAAATTATATTTTTAAGAATAATTAATAAATAATTTATTCTATCATCTATATCTATCATCATGGGTATATGTATACTATATTTTATTATAATGTGACATATAATAAATATATTCTTTTTTCTTATAATTTTACCAATTTTTATTTATTGTTCGTGTTAATATTTGAAATATATTTGTGTTTTAATTTGGCATCTAAAATTGGATTCTCGGTCGGCCTGTTATGCTCGTGCGCAATGTTACAGCTTGCTTTTACCTGCTCTCCGATCGTGCGCAATGTTACAGCTTGCTTTTACCAGCTCTCCGACGTGCGACGTGCCAGTGTCGATACAACAGTGGTGAAGTGATGGTCTGTGATCGGGTTCGAGCGACCCGACGTGATGTGAAGAACTGAATTGGAGTCTTGCTAGCTTTAGCTAGGTCCGCAGGTAGTTGCACGCGTTTGTCGGGAAGACATCATGGAAGAAGTCTTTCAGAACGGAAATTATCAGAGGGAGGCTAACGCCAACAACATGACTGCCGTGGAGACGCGAAAAGAGGTAAAGAGAATTCCGGAGCTTGTTTTCCATATTCGTCTGACAAATCGATACATCGCGCTTCGCCTTTCCAAAGTCGTGTCGCGTCCCACGTTTGTCGTTGTATTAGAGTCGTCGTACGACTCCAAAAATTCGGAAGGAAATGCGTGCTTCCGGATTAGACGAAAACATATTAATTGATTGATTAATTTTTTAATTAAATTTGCGAATTGTTTAATTAAGGCGAATGTATGTCGCGCAGTGATCATCAGAGTACTGCGCAGCGTGTCTCTCAATCGGTGTCACTGACTTGCTTCGTGATGTATATGTATATCTACACATACATATCGCACACGTATAAATATATATATATATATTTCTTTCTCAATATATTCGTTCTTGGTGTAAGTACAACTGTTGTCTATCAATGTGTACACTATATTGTATCTTTGAAACCGCGGCATCCTGTACGAATGATAACGAAATAAGAGACAAGGAATAAGCATGTCTTTCAAACTACGTAAATATTTGTGTGTTGGAAATTGAATTTACATTATAATCTAAATTCCAGGACTGTTTGCTGGACCATATGGAAATATCAGTAGTGGAAGCTGAAAAAAGAGCAAACAAGGCACTTAATCTAAGAGAATTCTACACGGTATATCTCATTGAAACTAAGTGAGTAAAGAAATAAAAATATAAAATGCATACATAACATTTTATTGCAAATTAGGATTATATAATTATATTTAAGCATATTGTTGTTATGTGTATTACATATATTATTTTTTTTTTTTTTTTAACAGAATCACTGATCCAGATTTCAAACACGCGTTAACTAGGGTAAGCTCATTATGGCGACGATATACCGAATTTGAATTGCTCCGCGCTTATTTGGAAATTTCTTACCCTTATATTGTGTTACCACCATTACCGGAGAAGAAAGTTCTCTACGCGTGGCAAAAAGTGACGACTGATACATTTGATCCCGACTTTGTCGATCGTAGAAGAGCTGGTCTTGAGGTACGTCATTTTTGGACTTATATATATTTCCAACAACTGTAATAAGAATATTAATCAGAAAAATGTTTTCGTATAGAATTTTCTTATAAGAGTGGCGTCGCATCCTATTCTTTCGCGCGATGAGCATTTCATGGGATTTCTCCAGCAGAGGGACGATTGGAGAGAAAGCGTTAAAGAAACAGGTATTTTATTGTTACGAATTATATTAAAACTTATATCTAATGCTATTTATTGTTTTTGCACAGGGTATCTGCAAATTGCAGAATCGAAACTGAAAGCGCTTAGTGTAGCTGTGCGTTTGAGAAAACCGGATAAACGATTCGAAACTATAAAAAACTACGGAATTGAGCTGCAGGTATGCATTGCAAATGAAAATAATATCTGTTTACGCAATTATATAATATCGTTGTACACAACCTTGCAGAATAATTTGTGCAATCTTCTGCGAGTGCGTGCACGTCTCGTGGAAAAGCAACATAGTCTGTACAAATTGCACGCGAATTACGGGCGCGTCTTCAGCGAATGGAGCGCGATAGAAAGAGAGATGGGCGATGGATTGCAGGTATTTTCGCTGCATTACAGAAGCGACATTATGATTGTAGCCGCGTTGATAAACACGGAATTCTCGATTTATTAACGTTGCGACTGTAAGAATAACGCGACTCGATAAAAGAAAAGAAAAAAAGATTAAAAATAAAAAGTATAAAAATTGCAAAACACCACATTACAGCCTGTTTTCTTAGAAATCGGGACACTACTTGGACTCATTAGCGGCAACGATAGATACCACTCTCGAGGAGGAAGAGCTCATAGCCGATCAGCTGAAGGAGTGGTTGTTCGGTGCATCGGCGTTGCAGGCTGTAGTTAGACGAAGAGAAGCTCTGCAACTTGCAAAAGATGAGGCACACGATGCCTTGACTGCCACGTTCGAACAGAAGGAAAAAGTTATGCAAGGTATTGGGAAATACGTGGTTTGAAATAGAGTTAGAATTTATTTTCTTTTTTTTGTATAAAAACTATAAAGTTTCTTACGTTCAAGGTAAAGCCGGTCTGATGTCACGCTTATTCGGCTCCGTAGACACGGAGGAAGTTCGCGAGCTGAAAATTCTTCAGCTGGAACAGCGAATCGCGCAGCATGATGAGACTGTAAAACAAGTGGACGAAGATTTAAAGTAAGAGATAGATTCTTGATGAGCGTTATCCTGTTTGGTACTTGTAATTTCAATAAATCACTGATCCCTCTATTAGGTCTTTCTCCATTAAAGCCATGATGGATATTGAGAGATTCCAACATCAGAAGGTTGTTGATCTGAAAGAGATTTTGGCCGCTTACTGCGTCTTGCAATTTAAATTAGCTAGGAAGGTCGATATAAATAATATTTTTTTCCTCGTTTTACTTTGCGCGTTGATTTTTGTGACAGTTATGTTTTTCATTAATACAGGGTCTCCAAGCTTGGCAGCACATCAAAGGATGTCTCGAAAGTATGCCGTAAACGTATTTATGGCGAAGCAGACTGTCAGAACAATAATCGTTCCCGTGTCTTTCGATATACATTCCTGCATCTGTAAGTTCACTCATGCCCTACGCTTATTATCATATCGATGTATATGATGGTTATTATTTAATGTCTTAGATTTATGTATAGGTAATATTATGTACGTATGTAATTCATGTTGGATATACGTATATATATAAATATGTCTCGAAACACATTATTTAAATATTTATATGTATTTAATACACCGCTTATGTGCGGGCACGAATAATCAATTACAATCAATGATGCGCGAAAAAGAGATTGTACTTAATCGTGTATACATCAAACCAAAATGCGATACGAACATTTCTCGCATTTGATGAAATGTGCTATGTGCAAACGATGACAGATGTTATCGTAATGTCGGTGTAATTTTATAAACACCTCATTTCTTTCTCTGTGTTGAATAAGAAATACTTTGAGTAATTATATATTTTCGCTTTAAATTCAATTTAATCTTTTCATGCAAAAATTAAATTTATTTTTGAATAAATTTATAATATATTTGTTATTATTGAAAATCAATGTCTATATCAATACAAATTAAGTGTATTTGTTACTATTAAAGTATTTATTATGTACATTATTTCATCTATGGCATATATTATTATTCTTATTATTAGATATTGTTTGGCGTTTACGATACGAATCATTTTTGTTTAAAAAAAAATTCTTATATGAAATATGATCTCTTATATACATTATAAATTTAATTTTATTTGCTATATATATCTTTGTTTTAATTTTAAATGTATAAATGTATTTATTATTTATAATATTATATATAGATAAGTATATAATTATTTCTTCTAGCATTTAAATACTCGAAAAAGTATACAATCTATATATACTTATTTTATATTTATTTTCAGTATAGGCACGGTTATATATTGTTATACATTTTTATACATAAATTTAGCTTTGTGTTTTGAACAGATAATTAAATACATACATTTTATCTGTATTTTTATTATTGAAAAGCATATATATATATATATATATATATATATATATGTATATATATTATAATTCTTTCCTTATTTTTTCTAAAAATATTAAAAAAAAATTTTTTTTATATGGTATAAATTTATGCGGAGACTTTAAAAAATGCAATCGAAGGAAGAACATCACATAAAGAATAAACTCTGTATTACGATTTTATCTACATAATTGTATTAGTCAATTGATATGCATTGTGTACGTTATTTTCTTTCAACGTTGCAGAAGCATAATGTGTATTTTGTATTTTCTACAGGAATAATAGAGAGATGCACTCTATAGAATATATTTTCTATTCACGTGAATTATTTTATATTTATTTTATTTAGAGGCACAATATTATATTGTTATATAACTAGACATTTTATACATATATTTGACTTTATGTTATGAACAAATAGTAAAATATTGTATATATAATTTTATTTATATTTCTATGTCTATTTGTAGGCATAGCGCTTACTCTAATTTTTTTCTAGTAAAAAATATGTTTTTTCTTTTTATTACATGCAGCAGAAATCCACATGTAAATTTAAAAAAATACTATAATTAACTTTACAATGAGAATATTGCAGAGAATAAGTTTAATGTTATGAATATTTTATTCACATATATTTCTATCAGTCAGTTCGCTTTCATTACTTAATTTAATGCAACAAAATGTGAGTTAAGTATTTTTAAAATATTGCAAAAATTATAACGAGAGATGCATCGTGAAATATATTTTCTATTATCCACATGTGCGGTTCTAAAATATATATTTTACCATCCACATGCAGTTCCAAAAAATTATTTTTCCATCAATTCAAATATATTCCTGCGCAGCTGTCAAAATATTAAAAGATAATTATATCTTAGTCCTCAACTCCCGAAATAATTTTCAGGGACGAATATACGAAAATTCATGATACTAAATATAATTCTTTTATGGTATTATTTATGAAAATTACAGTATGATATATAAAATATAAGAATGCAATAAAATTATTTTTTCCAAACAGGATATAATTCACAACCAACTTAATAGGAAAAAAAAAGAAAAAAAACAGGTACATATAAGATACAGGTATCTATCTGTAATTAACTGCAACATTCAGTAAGAAGACATACGGTTAAAATTAATAAAAAAACGGTGGAGAATTTATTACAGTTAATTTACACTTATATTATTTACATAACAAATAATATCACATTGTCAAAATTCGACTAACATAAAGAGAGTCACAATACCTTACACCAAATTTATTTTACGTTATAAGATTTCATTCAATTACGTAAAGTTGTTTCTGCAACTGTCTTTAAAGATTTTAATTTGTCATGGAATCGATATTAAGTATCGGTATAAAGTATGTTCTGATATAATCAGAGATCAACAGAAACAGTTTTATAATATTTCCCTTTTTCAAAAATAAATTTACAAATAATAAGGTGTTTAGATTTTATTTCAAAATCAACTAGTGTGATTTATCGCACGCGATGTCAAAAACATGCATACATGACTCATTAATAAATCACTTGACATATATATTAATCGTTGACGCCCATGAAGCTTTCTTATTCGAAGTAATCATTCTTATTTGACTTATTGTAAATTATGCGTATTATGCATTATAGAGTACATAGTATTTTAAGTGATTACATTAATTGTTAAAATGACTATATGTATATTCTAGAATATTTTCGTATTAGATAATTATCGTATTAGTTCAAAATATTTGGCACTTTGTCATTCTTTGTTCTTTCAGAAACAGTAAATGAATGACGAAAAGCTCAAATAAAATTTTTATTCAGTTTCATATTTTTTATAGAGCGTTTTGTTTACAATAAAATTTTTAATATTTTTAATATTTTATATTTTTATGCCCAATATTTTAATTATCTCTTAGAGACACTTTAATATAATATCGGAAATATGAAAAAAGATTCAAAAATAAAAAAAATAAAAAAACAAAATGATACTCACATATCAAAATATTTTTATGTACATATACATCATTCATGTTCTAATAGATTAAAGTAATATATAGAAGAAAATCTTTGGTGATCAAAGAGTGCGTACTTGACGAGAGTGCATTCCGGAAAGATTTATGAGGATCGCAGAATGCTATTTGATTTATTATATTAGTACTATATAAGACCGCAATATTCTCGACATGTTTATCTGTTTGATGCTCTGAATTTATTTGTAGACTTAAAGATGTGTGCAGAACGTCGGACGCCAGCATCCAGAGATAGAACTTGCTTGGTAAATACGAATGTTATATCACCGCGTCAAACTTTATGGTTTTTCTTCTAGAAATTTTCTTATCCTCTATGCTTGTTGGATGCTTAATGGAACTTTTTTGAATTAATCACGAGAATAGGAGCTACAAACATTGCATTCTTATTTCAGCCTCTTCTTCAGTAGTAAAGAAGTTTTTAAAATCACTTCTTCGAAGAATTTTCGAGTCATCATTTTGATCGTACGTCGTCACATAAAGTCTCCATCGAGTAATGATCCTTAGTGACGTTGCATTATTCACGGAAAATGCAGATCGGCAAAAATGTCAGTCTTCTCAAAGATTTCGAATCTTGCAAAAACATATTCGCTTTTCAAACAGGTCGCTGTTCGTTGCTGTCCCGAATATTCCACAGAGTCATTGATAATTCCTCGCGAGGATTTCCAGATTCGTCGAACATGCGATCTTCGGGCACGGTTGATCCGCGGGGAAACTTTAAAATTTTAAAGCCAGGCAGCCACTTTAAAAGCCTCCACCATTTCTTCTCAGAATTTTCCATATTCACACTCTTGTACGTCGTTCTTTTCCACGAGGCGGTCTGATTCCTGCGGATCGATCGATCCTTGCCACGTTTGCCTTCTTGCGACTTGTGATGCTCGTTGCACGGCGATCGCAGACTGTTGTTGTTCCTCGTTTCTTCTTTAATATATTCCTCCCGTATTGAGTTTGTTCTGATGAGCTCTGGCAAATTTTCTGGATTGCTCAACCGTCTTTGACTGTCTTCTATCGAATTTCCTGAACCTTCCATGCTATGCACCATCATACCGGATTCTTTACCGGTCCCTGCTATTCTGGAACCATAAGCACCAATGGTCCTTGGTTGAGATCTCGACAGACTGGAATATGAGCGTTGCTCGTGACGCGCCGGCAATCCACGATGTCTCCAGCTTTTTGATAACGTTTCCTAGAACAATTTGAACTAGATTAATAATTAGTACTTAAGGCATATAAATAAATATAAAAAGTAATATGTTCACAAATAGATCAAATTTATGTATTTAGTGAAGCAGTAACAATTGAGAAGCTTATTTATTTCAAAAATATAAATTTGAGATATTTATAGAAAATTATTGTGTCTGTTATATTTATTTTCTTGCAATATATTTTTCTATATAATAATATTTTGTTTTAAGAAATATTTCTATTTCTGTCGAAATTTTAAATGATTATACTGTATTAATTTATATTTTTAATTTCTCGTAATACAAACAGCGTGTTTTATAACTTAGATGAAAAGATTATTAATTAAAATAATGGTAAGATAAAATCTATTTTGATTTAAATGTCTTACCGTAAACGCTATGCGGAATTTGTTCGACATAATGTTGTAGAGGATCGGATTGATTGTTGTGGATACGTAGTAAAGAACACCTGATACGTAGGTCATTAAGAGGTAGAGGAACTCCATCCACGGGCCGTTCGATGTGATATGATTCTCCGTATTAGTTCCGTATATGGCAATTAATCGTTGTACGTGAAACGGAGCCCAACAAATGAAGAATGCTATCACTACTGCGACTACAACAATTCATAAACGTTTGTATAATTTGCGTCTGTTAGATTCAATTATTGTTTGACTATTTTTCATATTATTGTAAGAAACACATCATCAGAATTATTGCCTATCTTCTTTTATAGTAAATTATTCGTAAGATCGATCTACCCGAGCTCTATGCAACGCTTTAGAGTTTTTAACTCTAATCCTCTAACAATAAATCTTTTCAGGATTTAAATAAGAAGTAATAACATGCATAGTTTAATCATTCAAAATATTGATATTTCAAAGCTATAATATAAGCTATTTTGAATCATATCTGTTCGTTTCGATATACGAGTAATTTTTTTAAACTTTTTTATTAATTTTATTTTATTTTGATGGTCCAATCAATCATTAATAGATTAATGAAATACGAACACCAATGAGTAATATATAAATAATTTTATATAAATATCAAATGACATCAAGTAGCGAAGATTAATCATTTACATATACACATTAAATTAAATATCACGGTGGCATTATAAATAATAAAAATATCCAACAAATATATTAAAAAATTTTAATAATTTTATACAAAAATTAAATATTACAATGACATTATAAATAGTGAAAAGAGCCTGTAGATATGTTTCAAAATTTTACTAATTTTATATGTATTATATTATATGAAAAAATCGATTAATATGCCAAATATTTTTTTTTTCAATAAAAGGACCTAGATGACACCGAATAAATATAATCGGATAAATTTATGTAATTATGTTACAAGATTAGAATTATTTTTTATAAGACAATTTCAAAACTTCTCAAATATCGAAGTAGAATAAATATTATCTGTATCAACAAAAAGATATCAGCAATTGCATGGTAACAAACTTCGATATTTCACAAAAACATTACGATAAAGTGGATGCTATATGCAAATTAACTGATGTGGGACTTTGAAATTTTGTTTAATTATGTCGTTACCAAAGCGTATCACGAAATGACCAATGCATTTTTCATTAATGACCAGTGTATTTTTATACGAAATGCGTTCGTTTGTTTAGACAAGTTTGTTTTGATATATTATGCTGAGTTGTTCTTTAATTAAATTGTTCAAAGAACACAAATTCATAAAAAAATGCCTATTAATAAAAAGTTTAATAAATAATCATATAATTAAATTATAATATAAAATAGCATTTTTTAAAATAGTTGTTTATATATTGGTAATAGAACGTCATATTATAAACTATAACTTGATCATATATGTAGATATTTTATCCAGTTAGATAAATCGATTATTAAAAAATTTTGATTTTGGAAACAATTTTTATTAAATAACAAAAAATAATACATTATGAAAGACACTAATTAATTTATTAGACCAGATGTTAAAAACAGAATGTTTTTATTATTTCCAAACTATGACATTCAATTCAATTAATGATTAATCTTCGTTGCTTAAAATTATTTTGTGCTTGTAAAATTATTCTTTACATATACATTACTCATCGGTATTTATATTTCATCAATTTATTAATTGATATAATGTATATATTTTTCATTATTTGCGATACCTTTGAATAACAATTCTTAACGGTGTGTCTCAATACAGGCGCACTTTTGTATCAGTTGATGTTTATAAGAACTCTATATTTTTGTTAATTAAGTTATTCGGTTTAATTTATCATTTCGCTTTTAATATTATTAGACCCATCAATGCAAAAGGCTTCTGAATGGATGCCGCGTGATTGAACAGCGTAATGCCCATCCATCCGGAAGCCTTTTGCATTGATGATTTCAATGGTTGCGAAAGCTTCAAAAGTATAGGATTATTAGATCCATTTGAATTATTTTTTTTAAACAAGTTTATAGTGATGCAATATTTTTATATAAAAAAATTGTCTAATAAAAGTTCTTGTTTGAATATTGTTTTCGTTTGAATATTACTCAATTTTTGTTTTTCTTTTATATATAATTTTTATCAGTGGCATTTACATAAACTTACATCAAGAAAATGACTTTAATAATTTTGGCACTACGTGATCTAAGATTTAAGATCTCTGACAATATTGATAATACATTAATTAATGCCTTATTTATAACAAAGCCATAAGCCGGTATTTATAGTTCGATCTTATATTTAAGATCGTCTTAAATTCGAGTTTAAAACGCTAAGGAGCCATTTGATTGGTTGAACAGAATTTCAAGTCAACCTCCGACCAGACTTAAGACGATCTTAAATATAAGATCAGACTATGAATACCGACCATAGACTACTGGATAAAGATTTAATCACACACAAGCACCATACAAACTACAGTATTTACGCTAAGTGATTATGGGCAAGAACAGATAGACAGCTTTGTGAACGCGCAAATTTGACTATGTTGTGCAATGATGGAATATGATTTAATCTCTTGTGACCTTGCTAATTTTCCGTTACTTCTTCGATCCATTATAATTCATATGGAAGAATTATTATAAATACGCTGTGTGTTTGTATGTATGAATGTAAGAGTAAATAAAAATATATAGTATATACAATTAAAATATGAAATAAAATTAGGGATTATTAAAAAGATATTAAAATAATGTTTTATTTTCCACAGAAAATAAATTTTGTTATTTAAATTTGTTTTATAGAAATAATATATCTTGTTATATACAAATGTACTAAATTGCTTTATCCTTTTTTTTAATGTATATTATGCATTTGTGACTAATTTTTTCAATATAATACGTTTTTTATCAAGACTTATTAATAAAAATGTTCTTCCTCGTCCGATATTGAGTTTTTTCAAGTTACTTATATGATACGTTTTATTATACTTTATTCTTCAAAACTGCTTGATAATTATAATTATTATATGTATAATTTTATATGTATATATACTGTTTGTATATATTAAATTTGTTTAGAAAGAAAGATTTACTTAATATAAATGTGTTATATACATACTTAATTTCAAATTATTGCATTATCACTCTATATCGTATCTTATGTGTTTCTATAAAATAATTTTTGTATTAATACGTGCGATTGTTCACCAGTATAAATTTAATAAATATAAATCAACAAAAATTTTCTTATGTCCCAAAAATATTTGTAAAAGTATTGCGTCTGTCTCTCTCACATTCTCGCATATTAAAATATTTCACATTCAATTTATAATTGCGCCGGTTTGTTATTCTCTAAAATATACAGTATATATTAATTACAGCACTATAAATACGTATGTAATACGTATTTGTTTTGTCATAAATGATATAATTAATATGACTTATTATTTATTATAGATGCTCAACGTAATAAAATTGCAATGTATACTGATGTAATTCAAGATTAATTATATATAATAAAAAGTTGTACTTACTATTAAAATGAGAGATTATTAATGTTATTAAAAACATTAAATAAGAACGTATGCAAACAATTAACTATTGTAATTTCTAAAACCTTTTGCGAAGATAATCTTCCTTCGCAAATTATGTTTAAGACTTTGATCCTTTTTTATTATCATATGAAAAAAATGCGAAAAAGATGCTTATACGTGATTATTTGTTATCAAACGTTATTATATCCTATTAAATCTTTTATTATCCATTATTTTATACAAGTATAATTATAAACAATAGCATATTATTTATATTATTATATAATGAAATATAGAGTTTTTTCTCTTACCTTTTATTCATAAATTATTATAAATATGCTGTGTGTTTGTATGTATGAATGTAAGAGTAAATAAAAATATATAGTATATACAATTAAAATATAAAATAAAATTAGGGGTTATTAAAGAAATATTAAAATAATGTTTTATTTTCCACAGAAAATAAATTTTGTTATTAAAATTTGTTTTATAAAAATAATATATCTTGTTATATACAAATGTACTAAAAATATTATCTATTTTATATAAAAACTTTTTAAATTAAATTTTTAGAGAAAGAGGAAAATTGAGATAGAAATATCTAGTTATTTGAATTACATAGTTTGGCTGTGTTATTTACTTTTTATAAATACCAACCATATTTTATATGTTTTTATTTTACATTTTTTTATTCTTCTTATTCAAGGTATTACATATTTTCTACATATTTATTATAATAATTACAAAATTTTTTAGATTATTTCGGATTTAATTTTTTTGTGTTATATATATCGCATTACGCATTTCACATTTTGTATATTGGTGATATATGTATATCGTATGTAATTTGTATATGTGTGTAAACTTTGTTTATACTATTTAATTATTATTTATTTTACTTTTTAGATTATTATTTATTTTACATAACATAATAGATATATTTGATTTTATATATTTTCTATTTAACATTTGATTTCTTTCAGCTTGGAAAAAGAATTCGAAATAAAGCTCGAAACATTCCTGTGAAAAATATCAGATTTAATTAAGTACATGTTAAAATGCATTTTACCCACAACGCTTTTTATTTAAATTCAACTTGCATTACTCAGTTCTTATTTTATAATGATGTAGATTTAAATAAAAGTAAAAATAATGGATGCAATGATGTATAAATGTTAGATATAGCACGGTAATTTATGTATCAAAAGACAGAAAGATATCTCGTGACACATGATCGGTTTTTTATTTTATCTGCTCACACGCTTTCTGTCAGGAAAAAAGCAGCATTGTAGGCGATGTATTTGACAAATGTTCACAGTCGTTTGTACCTTATATCTATTATGAGTAAGTAATGCGCTTATTTCTAGGTTCAATCGATTAATGTAATGGTGTAATGTGAAATCTTACAGGAAATAGCGTTAAAGTTCGCAGAAAGTTTAATGCTTGTGACTAGTAATAGCATTAAGAAACTTATATTGCGAGAAAACACACGTATGTTGAACTTATGATTAAAGTTTACTTCGTTAACACGATATAAATGTATTTGAGAGACACTGAAGCGTAAGTACGCAATGCCCTTTGCATAAGCTCACCTACTTTGTAACTTGTTCGCAAATTCTATGCAAATGATAAAATTTAATTATCTTTTAGTCGGA